ATTTTCATTCTTCTTCTTCTTTTTCTTTTTTTTTTTTTCTAAGCCGATCATTTATTTTCGCGTTCTATTTGAATGGAAATCTCGTGGAGGTGTAGAAACACGATTTTAATTTCTGATCGCGGTTATTGTATATTCTTGGCTTAGTTCGTTCACGTGTGTACGTTTAATGCTGTACTCGCGCAAGTTTAATAGAACACAGAAAGTATTCTTCAAAGATTAACGGTGAGCAGGCAGTTTTATCCGCTTTGAATTATTTGATTTTATCACTAATTTCATGGTAAAGTTACGTGTTGTTTGCATGCAACGTGAAGATCAAGTTACAATTAAGAAACAAAAAATGGGAACAGTGTTATTTAATTTTTTTAATCAGTCAATTTTACGTTAAATAAAATAATCGGATTACTTGAAATTCATAAAATTATTTTTACTTCTTTTTATTATTATTTTTCTTTTAATCGTTTTATTATCAAACATTTTACTCTTTACGCAAGAGAATTCTTCTTTTTTTTTTTTTTATTTCAACTCTTTATTCAACTCAGATCGTACGTAACGTGATGATTATTAAAATTTTATTATAACGTATCATCCAAAATTTATCCACCATTGACGTAATTTGCAATTTGTAAAATATTTATTAATAATATTCGTTAATTATGCAAGAGAAATCGGATAATATAAGAGAAGCCTGAAGTGATGAAAACTGAATTGGTTTTATAGAAATATTTATATACTCGCATGTGTTCGTACAATAAATTAACGCAACTCGGTTCAGTCTGTTGAATTTTCATTAATCTAAACGACCTGAGGTATACTTTTAATTAAATTTATAACCGTGTCTTCATAATATTCCGTCCCTATACCGTTAATTTATACCGTTTATATTATTCACTTACATCTTAGCTTTATTAATTCGAAATTTAATGTAATATAATATTTTTCATCATTCCCCGACGTTTGATCGATGACAAGCGTTTAAATCTAAAATTCGTCGAGATAAAAAACTTAAAAGTATCTCGATGACTCATCGTCATGCCCGTACAGATCTCGTGGGTTTTTCTATGAATGAACACCAGGAATAGAATGTTGCAGATGTGAATGAGGTAACACATTCGACTGTGTACAAGGAAGCTCGACGGCGGATTGTAGATACTTTGATAGGGAAAGTAGCACGCAAGTAGCATAGGAATAGATGAATATAATGTGCCATCGCAGAATAGTTTAGAGTCGAGAAGATTCGCTGATTGTGTTCGAGGAAACTTCAATACGACGCTCTCCAAACCAATTGAGAGATAAATTAGACGAGTGGATCCTGTTTTCAGAGACAAGAGAAAATACAATGAGCGAAATTAAACGTTTTAGCGATACGAATTCGATCCATTTTATAGAGTCGAACGACTCTATATTGAAACTTTTCAACTATTCTTCAATTATTTTTACAGGTTTAGCTTAATTTTTTAAATAGAAATTTTCTAACTTGTACAGGTTTAGTTTCAAACTTTCAACTTGAATTCGAATTATGTTCAAAGTTAGACTTTTATTTCGAAGACGAAACTTTTTAACTTTTCACGAGTTTTTCAGTTTCAAACTTCTTAATTCAAATTGTCAAAAACTTAAATGTCATTAAAGTTAGAAACTTTTTACAGTTTTCAAAATATATCCTATATTTCAAAGATTTGTTTTCTTTGAAATTCAAAGTAATTTCAAGCTCGATCTTTTCGAACTTCAAGAACGCCAATCATGTTATAATTAAATATAATTTTTTTATTACGAAATCGTTAACCCATTTCTTGTTCCATAATCCGCATTCCAAAACAAAAATCAAAACCATTTACAATTTTCGTTCGATGAAAACAGAGTTGGCGTGTAACACCATTGTTCAAATCAAATCATAATACCTTCTGATGCCTATCTCCGTACGGCAAAGTAGTCACGCCAGCGCCTCGAACGATTTAATTGCTCGACAATGCGGCTACAAATTGTCGGATGATGTTGCCCTATGATTGAAACCTACTAGCTCAATAAACTCATTTAAATGCTCGTCTTTTAAATTCTTCGTCCGATTTACATTTCTTTCTGTCTATCGAATAATCTACATATTTCGCGCAAAATAAATTCTATTAAATGGTAGAAAAAAAAAAATGGCAATGGAAAAAGAAACTGTGGTAAGGTTTCTTAAGGAGCTTAATAATTAATGCGTTATAAGAGGGATAAGAATCAGTAGTGCATGCTGAATCATGCCAAATGCTGCACCCAGATTAAGATACAGTAAAGATAAAATTCAGAAATTTATTTATCTATGAAGCAATTAAGTAATAATAAGTGTTCATAAAGTGTGCTTACTTAAGATTTACTTTATTTCATTCTACTTTCGTTCTTCGCTTAACCAATAAAACTTAGAGTTTAGCGTTTAAATTTAATGATTTTGCATCGTGTAATTTTATTACGAAACGGACTTTAAATACATTTAAACGAGAACTGAACGTTGTATCCTTTTTTTTTTTATTCTTTTCCCCTTTTTATTTTTGGATAGTACATTTTTTCTACCGACGATGGCAATTTAATCGATTCTGATCTACAGAAAATATTTTCGTAACGTCAATTAACGATGCTTTTCCGCTTTGTTATTTTTATGTAGGATTACATGAAAAATTCCGAAAACTTTTTATTATTACCACACGCGGATGCAAATTGTTAAATTATTTTATATGTTATTGTTTTTTTTTGCACGAAGAATTCCCTTCCTGTTTATTTATTTATTTTTTTTATATTAAAGCAAAATTAAAGAAAAAAACTACGAAGCAAAAATTACAAAGAATCGATTATATCTTAAAGCATATTTCTTTTTGAAGAAATTCAACCGCTAAAAATACATTTAGTTATTTTATTTTACTTTCCTTTTTTTTTTTTAATCTTATCGGTATAAACCGAAGATTCAATATTCGCGTTAAAAACGATCTATTCCATCCTCGGATAAGCATTCAACGAGTGGTTCAATCGATTGTCTATAAACAGAGAGATTTAATATTCTCTGGCTCGAAAGAGATTGAAACGATCGATCGGTTCGTTGCAATCGCGGAGGAATTCGATTCGTCGTCCAATCGAGGACTGGGATCGAGCAAAGTTTCGTTCCCACCAATAAATCTGTTAAGAATCAATTGACGGGGCAAGAAACCGTTTCATTGTTCCTTTAAATTCGTTGGAGAATCGATCGAAGAGATTCCCAGAGGCGAAACGATCCCTAATCAACTTATCTTGGTTGGCAAAGAAAGAATGGCGTGACTATCTCTGAAAATAAATTGACCTTCAACCTTAGGCTTGGATGTAAACAGCGAGATGTGGGCTCACTTTTGCAGAAGAAATCGATGATAATGTTCTTATATTGGAAAATATGGCGTTTGCACATATCTCGCGCCACGATTTAACGGGATGCATGTGTGGATTGAACGATCGTGGAAAGTTCGAAGATGTTGTAGAAATGTTTGCCAATTCTCGCGTCATGACGCGAGAAAAAGAGCTTTTAACACCAGCAATTTTATTAATTTCTGTTGTGCGAGAGACGATCGTCGACCAGTTTGAACTATTTCTTAATTCGAGGAATTATAATTTCCAATTTAAATTTAGTTTTCGTAGGAAAATTTGTTTAACGTGAGAATAAATCGAAGCTCGATCAAACCATTACGACCAATATTTCACTTTGAAAAAATTAATCTCAAACCTTTTAAAATTTTGTATATTTTAAAAATTCGTTATAATATTTATCCTTGTGATCATTGGAATCGAATCAATTTTAACGGAGTTTACTTTCTAATTCGTGGCAATTCGATAATTGTTCAAATCTGATCCTCCCTAATTGTTTCGACCTTCAATTTTTCATCCCTCGAGGAGCACGGACCCTCCGCGGATAGGAAATACAGGACGAGGCAATTTCCTTCGTATCATTTTCGCGGTGGATTCAGTTGGACAGGAGAAAGATAGCAATTTCCATCGTGAAATCGAGTTTAAGCTGACCTATTTTATAAGGATCGCGTAACACGTTGAAAAGCATCGGGAGTCTGTTCGCCGGGGATGCGCGAAAGTCCTCGGTTGAAATTGCTTCTGTTGTAATAGTAACTGGAAATATACAAATTGCAGAATTACCGTGGCGCGTTTAATTTATCTCGTTCACTCGATTGGGAAACGCGATTTGTCCAGTTTATCCGGATATTATTTGCCCGGATATTATTCCATCTTGTTTATAAATCGTTTCGCGATGATCGATAAACAATTTGGCCTGATGATCGGTAAACGAGCGATCTCCTCGATTGGAATCCTTTATTTTTTTTCCACGCAATAAACGCGCGCTATTCGTAAAAATATTAGATTTATCTTCAGATTATGAATCACAACTATTCTGAAATATTGCGTTTCATATAAATAAATTTATATTTATGATATTATATTCATATGATATTTTAAAAACAAATCCCTTGTTTGCTCCTATTTATTTATTGTTTTGTAATTGGACAATGGAGATTATAAATATTTAATACTTAATATTTTAACGATGATTTTAAATTTATATCAAACGATACACGAGGAAAAAGAATTCCTCACAATCCATCTCTCCTTTAGTCTAATTCTTTCTTTAACAATTCTTTCTTTCATTCCACATGTATCCTACCCTCTTCCTGTCTAAAAATGATATTAAAAACGATATTACGCAAACGATATTAAAAAAATCTAGTTTCCAAGCTCGGATCAGAAAAGCATCCTCCAATTTCTTGAAAATTCCTACGCCCGTAAATTAAACCAACACCGAACATAATAAACACACTTATTTATTATCTTCAATTATGAATGCTAACCCACGTTGCTCGACACGTTGCCCTATTCTAATCTCTTTCTCGAAATCACTTGGCACAAACTCGGTTGTTTTTGAATAAAGAAACACCCTCGCCAAGTGCATCCACCAATGCTCTGTTTCTAATCCGCGACCAGTAACGATCGTTCTACCCCCGCAGGTGTAGCCATGAATAATTCACTCGGCTGAGAGGTTGAATTTCTCCGACTTTGAGACACTCGAGAAGAAGAGAGAAAGAAAGAGAGAGAGAGAGGAGGGGGAGAGGGAGAGAGAGGAGAAGAGAGGGGAAGGAGAGAGAGAGAAGAGAGAGAGAGAGAGAGACTCGAAACACAACAGGGAATCAAGATGGGTGAGATCCTCGGCTCGGCGAGCTTCCTCCACCTAGGCGACATCGTCAGCCTATACGCTGAGGGCAGTGTCTCTGGATTTCTTTCCACCCTCGGGTAAGTTGAATATTCATTAAATCGTTACGACTAATTAGCATAGTGTTACGACACGATACTTCGTTATTCCGCGAGAAAGAATACGTCAACCACTCCCTTCTTCGGAACAAGCCTTCTTTATTGGTGGCGAATGTTTTCAGGGAAGGGAGAAAGATCTGTTAATGATTAAATATCCGAAGGGAGAATTTTTTGAACTTGGCTCGTTCGATTCAATTGTATTGAACTGGATGAAAGAATAAAAAGGAAATTAGGAAATCACGTATATAGAAACATATTATATTAATGATTATATTATTATAAATTTTTTGTTTTTACAATGAGATAAGTCAAAAATCAGATATTTCTAGATCTTAATTAGCGAAGATATATATCTCTAATAAATGTTTTATGAATGTTCTTCGTGTCTCAATTATGTTATTTATTTGTAAGAGTATTATTTGAAAATTATATTGTACGATATTAGAATTTGATCGTGTTTGATTTTACTGAAATCAGTTAAGTATTAAAAATAATTGGTTTATTAAGATTTTAAAATATTTAAGAGTTCCGTTTAACTAGATTTGATCGTGTTTTGCATTTTAAATTGAATTCAGTTAAAAATAGATTTAACATGCATAGAAGAATAATAGAAGTAGAAAATAGGTCAAAATATAGAATTCTCTTAGAGGATATAGAATTAGGGAAATCTTAGAAAGTTGAAGTGTATGAATACTTGAACAAGAATACATGAAAGGGAAGGAAAATTCCTTTGTCTCGATTCTGTTGGGTCAATATCGTTTTAGATAATATATATTAACGATTATTATTCGACTTTCTACCGATAACTATAATATTTAGAATCGATATAAACAATTATATTGCCATATTATATATATTTCATCACTATTCAAATAAATGAAATTCAATATAAAAATTGCAATAAATTAGAAAAAAATGTATACATTAAGAATTATATTATATTAATAAAACAAGAAAGATTTTATATATTTTTCATCTCGACCGTATATTTATTCGGATAAAATGTAGACCAAATATTCTGCCAATATTTTTGATAAAAGTCAAGATCGACTATGCCCCCCATTATCGCAATCAAATATTTCATATCCGCTTAAAGATTAAATTTCTTCACGAATCCAAGATCGTCGAGAATATTATATATTTCTTCCATTTCTTCTTTAGATACGAATCATGCTCAGGGGATTCCCGTTGCCCATCTCGACCGTTTATCTCGGTGTTTTCATTTTACCCTCGATAATCCATTTCCTTATCCGACATTTGCCACCCTCGCGTAAAAGGAAGAGAGGAGCAGCAGGTTATTTCAATAATCTTAATGCACACGCTATATTCTCGACACTGTTCCACGCGATTAGTTCCCGGGACGATTAGATATTCCAGGGCAAACATCGGTATCTCTCTCTCTCTCTCTCTCTCTCTCTCTCCTCCTTTGAGATCTTTCGGCGCCTTCTGCTTCTAGAGAATTTATTATATCTTATATCATCGGAATATATTACTTTTGAATTTAGATTCGTTTCTCGATAAATAACGCGTGGTAAAATCGAATCGAAAAGCTTGAAGGTTCAAAATTATGAGTTTGCCCGTATATATCTATATACAGATAGGATTTCTGGAGCAAATTGCAAAGTTTTGCGAGAGATGAACGTACGATATATACGTGTATTCATTCTGCATACATTATTCCTAAATATAAACTGTTATTAACGAGTTTTATTATGTAGACACGTGTCTGCAAAGGTAGCTGTATGTAAATTTAAAGAAGCTTTGCGACGTATCTTTTTGATATATCATTGAGACATTATATTATAAATATCGAGAAGTAACAAATTGCTCGTTTTAACAAATTATGTGTACAACTACAGAGTGCTGGTGTACACGATGTTATACAACAAGTTAAACATTTATTCATGCCACCCTGCATATTCCTATCTTCGTAAAAATGAATATTGGAATTTGATGCGACTCGATTATGACTCGTGGAAAGAAAAAGCAAGCACTTTTGAGATAAAAGTAAGAGGAGTAGATGTCCACGCGAGAAAAACTTTAAGGAAGGAAAAATTATCAGTTTAATATTCCTCGATGGTATATCGATATTTAACAAATTAATTTGAAGAAAGATACATCGGAAAGTCACGTTCGACATATCGATTTCACGAGCCTTTTTTCCGTGTCGCCTTGCTAATCGGACCAATGATTATACGCAATTCTCTCCCTCGACGAAGACCGGTTTCGGTGTAAAAAAAGGACAGGTATTTGCGTGCATAATTCCTCGTTCCAGTAATACCGAATCGAAAGGACATTATGGATTTATATGAACGACAACGATCCCCGAAATTACACGCGTTATATCATCGTTTATGCAATTAATAGACGATGTAATATAGGATGAAATACACCCGCGTTACGAAATTTTCGCGCGAAAAATAAAATTGGAAATTTAGAGCGATCTATCAGCGTTCAAATTAATTGAATTCCAAAAGTATTCGTCGATGTGGACCGTTTCATTTTTCCGTTCGCAGCCCCATTCGAATATTTTATGCCGGTGTCCGCAAAACGATAGAATCATATAATATTCCATAAAATTAATCTTCTTCCATGGAACGCCGATCAAAAACCAGATTTCCATTGGCAAATATCAAAATTCACTGTTCGAATTTCTCGAATCGCGGTTTCCCTTCCACCTTTCGACGACTCTTTCGCTGAAAGTTATTTAATCGGCTTACAAATAAATCCCGGAGCAGCTGCCACTCGTCGAATAAATTTCTAACCCCCCCTCGAGCGAGAGGGTACACGTGCTATTCTTTGCCCGCGTGTATTATCCGCGCGCTGATGCTCTTCGTGCCGGCACAAAGATAGGGCCGAGTCGATACGGGCAGGTAATAAGCCGATCTCTTTGTGATCGAAGCCTATCTGGCTATCCGTACTGCGCATACTTTTCAAAGGGTATCCTCCGCCTGGCCACGTTAATGTGCATCTTTAAACCATTATCGGGGAAACGCAGCATGGAGCAAAATAGTTTACAGGTAAACAGAAATGGGATTTTTCCTTAAAGAAAAGAGATCGTTATTTTTTCCTTCCCTTCTCTCGTCAAAAACGCAGATTCTTCCTTTTTCCTTCTTGTTCAAGAAAGTTTGAAATTTGAATAGGCAACGCATCGCGTGAAATATGTTTTTTTTAATAATTAGATTTTGTAATTATAATTTTTGGATCACTTTTGAATAAACTTTTGCGGGGAAGAAGAGTAATGTGTGATTGTTATTTCGAGGGGATAATATTTTAAATGAATCGGTTGCACGATCAATCTTTATCAATTTTAATCTTTCTTTTTTTTAAGGGAGATTCGGTGGGAAGGATTATTTTTATATAAACGTATAAATAAACTAGTTAGTGAAGTTTCTGTCCTTTGCTATTCGCTTGTTACTACGTTTTCGTATTTATATTGAAGTCGCAAAAAAAAAAAAAAAGAGGGAAGAATCAATATTATTCTTTCACTGTTTGTTTCTATTCCAAATAGAGACTTTTTTCCGGAGAGAAGGATTCTACAAAATTTTTGTTATACTTTCCTGAGGGAATTCAGGTGAAATCGCATGCACGAGGAAAATGGCGTAAAAAAAACTCGCTTGGTTGGTGGTAAGCAGGGGGAAAAAAAAGTCATGTACGAGTGTTTTGATGGTGCTTTGAGAAATTGCGTCACGTCCATCGACTCGAAACTGTCGTACTTTAGTCAACAGTGTTTTTAAACGTATTCTGGATAAATTCAAACGTACACTACTTCCTTTTCTTACGTTTGGAGAAGGAAATAGGTTAGAAGAGTAACATTAAGACAATATATTAAAACAGAATATTTGGAAAAAGAATTTTAAAATTACAAAAATTATAATAACCTGATCGTTTCAAAACTTATTTCTCGAAAAGGATCAATGTTACATTCGAGATCGATCAAAAATTGTTTCACGGAACGAGAAAATGTTTTTGCGAAAGATCGCTTATCGAGAGAATTCGATTCACACAAATGATTTTGACACGAGCCGTTCCAAGAGCCAAGTTAATCGCCAAGTCCCATTTAGATTTCTCCGCCACTCGAAAAACAGGTCAGGCACACTTTGCCCACTCCAGTGGCATTCACCGGCATGAATGGCCACTTAAATAAGATCCTGACGATCGAATCCCGCGAATCTGGTTTTGCGGAACGGGATCGCAACCAAGCTTCGTTATTATCTCTCTTTTGTAGCGAAGATAAACCGCGAGCACTAAAGCCAAGCAAAGAGTGTGCGTGCGTATGACTTGCGACCATGGCACGCGGTCCTTTTGCGTTTTAAAACGTACATATATTATTCCTCACGTTTTATTCAAAACATTTCAATATTTGCAGATTTTTATACGAATTAATCGAACGTATATGGTTATATTCGAGACCTGGTATTTTTATTAGAATTTTAATCATATTTGTTATATTTTTTGTATCTATGATCAAATAATTGAAAAAAAAAACGACATTGAACGCGCTTGTATTTTTCCGAATGCAATTGTAATTTTTACGTTAGTTTTACAGTTTGTTAAAAGAATTGCATTAAGAATAATTTAAAAAATTAATCTCAAGATCGCAATCCTATTTCTCAGCGATTTTTAATTTTCTATTGTACCAGATCATAGACAATACGTATGTATCTACAAGCTAACAGGCTATTCTATCGTCAATTTGGCGATAACTCGCGCTTTTTTATCGCACAAATCGAAGCTTCAAAGCTTCGGCGAGAGTGCAGGATATCTTTTTTACGATGCTCGTGTTGTGCTGTTTATTAGATGTCAGCCGTTATCGATACCTGTGTATGGTGATCCCACGATCGAGATATATATACTATAATTTGTGCTCTGGTCACAGTTCATCAAACCAAATCTCCGGCCCAGTGAACGGAGTGTATCTACTAATTCCTGTTCTCTGCCAGCATTCTGATTGCACGACCACTTGTCATTCTCCATAACAATGCACTCGATGCACTCTCGATGCACATGCTCGCGTGAAAGGGGGTGTAATTAACGTTTTGAAACAATCTATGCGTTCATTCATCAATTCCTCACCATTTCGATAATTGTTTAATTCATCAATTAACCATATATTAATATATCGATAAGTTATAAATTATCAATTGCAGGCTGTCCGTGTTGAACGAATTATATTTTTCGAACATGTTTCCTGATTGATTTCCTGAATTGATTATAGAATTATTGGAATTTAGCCAAGAAAATTTTTATTATCTTCCGAGCGAATTAACCGATTATTAAAACTATTTATAGGGGAACGGTAATTCAAGATATTTTTAATCACGATTAAAATCATATGAACATCCATTAATATTTATTAATACACCGTGAAATTTCGATTAATAATTTCGATTATTAACTCGAATCAATGTAAGAAGCTCAAAATGATAAGTTTCGCGATTCTTATCACCTTAAAGCAATATCGATGCTCCGTGTGACGATCATTGATTTTATTATTTTCTCTGTTTTCTTTTTTTCTTCTCCCCTCTCTCAAGATCTTTTAAGTGTATCATACGATTGTTGCATGCTCGTTTTGCGTCAATGCTTAATTAACCAATAGATAGATTAGATTGTCATCGATAATCATCCCATCCAATCTTTTCTCGATAGATAGTTTCGTAATATTCAACCCTTGCAATCGCGCTTCTATTCTTTCTCTTCTTTTACCACGTAACACGCGTTATTAACAATTTTAAACGATCATCAACGAAGTTTATTAATAAAGTTATCGAGGGTGTGGGACAGGGTGATTTATTGATCAGCAGAAAGTGCACGGTACGATACGTGGATTACATCCGCGAGAAATCCTACGAAATTCATTATTATCCTCCGATTCGTAGTCTTGGAGACTACTGTCCTTGAAATTATATTAATTGCATTTATGAAAATTTATGAAGGACATTCGAAATTCTCGTGAATTTCTAGGAACGCGTGTCGCTTTCGGTTTTTACTCGTCGCATCAATTCTTGAGATAAAATTTATATACGCGCCATTGCAGAATATTAATAACCAGATTGCGCAAGTTTACGCATTTATGGAAAATTTACGGAATATACCATTGATTTGCAAAAAAGATATTAAAAAAAACCGAGAGGAAAGTACTTAGTTGTAATATCGAGAGGAAGCTTAAACTTTCACGATAAATATTTCTTCCATTTGTACTTATATAAATAAATAATTTTATAAATCATACGCAAGATAAAAAAAAAAATAAAAATTTTGATTTTCGACTGGTTTAGAATGTTGTTGAAATTAAATAAATCAAGAAACGATATCTCTCGTGAAGAATATTCAAGAAATATTCTCGAATAGTAGAAACTAGTTTCTGCTAGATTTCTAGAAGCAAATAGCTTTTTCAAAAGGGATAACACGTACGTACGTACGTTCAAACTAACTCTTCCGTTTCGTTCGTAATATCTTTTCAGTAGCGATTACAAGCTGCAATAATGGGCCTAACGTAATCGCAGTTATGGAGTAGACGTCATCAACGAGGAAGGAGGTGACACCGGTATATCGTCTTTCGTGAATACACGAATCGAACCGTTTCCAACAGTTATGCACCATCGTGTATATTGTGGATAACTGCCCGTTCCAAAATTTACACGGTGTGCACGTGTCATCTTCTTGTTCGTTGAACCGGGTGAACCAACAGCTTCGGTGCCAGGACGCTTCTCTATCGATTATAACGCATTATCGGTTAAAAACCGATATCTGGTGAATCTATTTATTTTATATCGAATGAAATTATTATTATTATTTTTGTTTTCTTATTTTTTTAATACTCTTTGAAGATATCATTCGAAGATAATAGTTCGAATTTGTGGACAATCTATAGATCTTTGGGTAGAAAATGGTAGATGATAGAATCGAGACTCTAATTCGATTACAGATATATCGGGTTTGGAATGAGTTAGTTTCGTTTTTTAGAGGAAGTTTTTAGTTTATTTATTTTGCTTCGTGTTATATATGTATGGTTAATGGTTTATTTTATCTTTGCGAACGATTTTTTTTACGAACAATTAGCAAAAGTGGATGGAAGTGGATCGCAATATTCGAATAATTGGTTCGCTTTGTTTCGATAAACTATTCTCCGCAAATAGTTTCGATTTCGATCGAATTAATCGAATCTACGAATATTTAGGTTATTCGAGGAAACGTGAGCAATGGAATCAAGATCTCAATTCGAAACGTATTGGATGATCGGTTGGCCTCATTTCGAAAAGAAATTGTTTCTCTCCAATTAGCGTGGATATTTCATGGATTGTTATCAGCAAAATTTAACATCAATTACATTCGTATTATACTCGGCCTTGTTTTTGAATTAAAATTGTTTTCCTCTTTTTTCCTGGTGTTCAACCGATTCGATCGGATTGATTTAAGGTCTAATCACGGGTTATTAACAAGAGACGTGGGTGTCAGGGTCGAGATGTGGTTACAATTAGACGTATCGCGTTCGGATGTTGGCGGTTACACACCAGGTGTGCACACACGTCGATTCAGAGTTGTTTGTCTATTGGAATCCGCGTGCAACCTCGATTTATCGTATAATCGATTTCAGTGGTGCAAATGTACGGACTGGAATCATTGTTTATGCATGCTTCGATATGCGGAAAAAGATTATTCTCGAAATCTCGGTTCCACGATTACGAATAATATTTAAGAGGATACAAGTATTTCTCTTTTGCTACGCGAACGATAAATAATTTGATCGAGTATCATTATCATCCTATACATACATATATCCTTTCAAAATCCTCTTCTTCTTTGTTGTTTTCTTTGGAAGATATATTATCCGCACAATGATTTGATTTGTAGACGCTACATTTTCCACATTTTGCCCATTTATCATGTAGAAGTTACGTAGATAGGAATAGTAACTTCCTGTTATTTCCTGCATTTCTTTGATCGACGATTTCACGCATATCATCGATCGATAATTTATTAGATATACACTATCCATCATATCAGTTTTCATAAAACTGTCAAACATTTTTTTACCAATCTGCTAATTGATATTTGCAAAATCACTATCCTATAGAAAAATTCTACATTTTTAATCGCGAATATTTTATTAATCGTAACACAACAGACAATAATGAATTAAATAAATAAAAAAATATTCCGTGAAAAATATAATAAATATAATAAACGATCGTAATAAAATAAGATAGTTAGTTTCATTGATCGAACAGATCTTTACTTCGTAGTGCGAATTTCGTAGCCTTTTCCTGAACATTTTACTGAACATTTTTATTTCCTTTCCAAGTAGTCAAAACAGCTTACGTTTTACGCGCGAAAGAAGCCTAAATGCAATCTCGTTAGCGAACTTTGTATTCTATTAGTGGGCAAGATATGGTTACTTATGGATAACCGAGTACCCTGTGAAACGAGTGTAATCGACGAAAGCCTTGCTTTCTTCTGTTTCTTCACTCATGAAAACAGCGTCTCTTAATTGTTATTCAGATAAGATTCGTTCTTCCCTCCATCGTGTTTCGCGTTAATCATCCATGGCGAATTCTGTGCTTCTGTTAACGCGAGTACCCCGTCGATCAATATGATATCTTCGTCTCTGTCCAACCCGTAAACACGCCTTTGTTGTGGCAAAATAATACTCTATTCCGTTTCCATTCTCCGTGACGAATCTATTCTTACGTATTGGCGTTTTCTCTCACGGAATATGTAATATATATTAATAATAAAGACGCTTTAATATTTTTATATAATACATATTTCACTTAAATTTGACGCGAATTTTTTTTTTTCAAAAATCATGTGATATTTCCAACTAGATTTTAAAAATTTTATGGAACAATAAATCATTTTCTAAAATTCGTTTTATTAAAAAATAATTTCCACTTTATTTAGTAAAAAAAATAAAAAAAAAAATAAATCTGGAGCAATTTCAAAAAGGTATCGAAAAAAGATATTGGCTACCACAAGTGCGATTTACGTGTCATTAAATTTTATTTTCCTTTTTTCCAATATATATGTATACACATATAAATGGTGTATTTGAAAAATTAAAACATACTCAAGTTTCATTTCACGCAACTTGATTTACACGGGTTTCGTCAAGTTTCATCGAAAAATTGTTAATGAAATAATAATTCAGTGAAAACGACTTCGAAAGTTGTTCATTCCTCCTGTATATATCATTCCATTGTAAAATATAATTTACGGATACTGACAACGGATACACAACAGTGGTATATCTTCATTCATGTTGAAAAAGTTGTTCCCCCTTACGTTTGAAAGAAGGGGATGTAATTTGTTAGACTGGGAGCGTTGCACCTTGCCGGGGTCAGAATAATGCTCCACCGGAAGTGCACTTGTTCGACGACGTGCGAGAACACGACGGGCGACGAGCAACGATATTTCGGCAGATGAAAGCATCTCTCATTCGCTGTGTGGCTTTAAAGCTCCCGGGCAAGACTTGGCCTGCCCCAATATCGATCTGTAGCTTGCTTTCGTTCGAGCTGGACCTCTTTTATTGTTATTTCACGACAGTCTCCAAAGTGTTTTATCAACTTTGAAAGCAATTTACAATAATAATCCTTGTTGTTGTATCTTGTCGTAACTTCGAAACGAGTTTGAGTCGAAGAGTTGGATGGAATATTGGTATTAATTTTAGTAGGATATTATAGGATATTATTTTGTAAAAGAGGAAATGGAAATTAATTTATATCTGTTACGTATCTTTTAAATAATTTTAATCATTTTTTTTTTTAGATTGGTGGACGACAGATGCGTGGTATGTCCCGAAGCTGGAGATTTGTCAAATCCACCAAAGAAGTTCAGAGGTAGATTATCAGAATCAACGATCATCATCATTAAAATGAAAAATTTTATCTTATCTTTTCTTTAACGTATTTTTTTTCTCAGTCTTGATATTTTTTTGTTCAATTTTTTCAGATTGTCTTTTCAAAATATGCCCTATGAATCGTTATTCCGCCCAAAAGCAATTTTGGAAGGCGGCGAAACAAAGCGCTGGCGGTACCGACGCGGTGCTTTTAAAAAGACTGCACGTGAGTTCGAGTTTTCATGAAATTTTTATTCACTTTTATTTATTTATAGAAAAGTTAATAAAATTATCTATTGATTATCGGCTAGATAAATGTTCTTATTCGATGCAAATTGTTGTTAGCATGCCGCTGAAATAGAAAAGAAGCAAAATGAGACTGAAAACAAGAAATTGTTGGGCAGTGTAGTCTCCTATGGTAACGTCGTCCAGGTAAGAGGAACAAATAATCCCCGTTTTGTTTTTCTAATATTTCTATGTATTTTTATATTGTCCCCGTTTTACGCGAAGTAAATCAATTTACCTTGCGCTACACGCTTCAAAAGGTCAGCTTTTGCTTTAGAACTCAAGGACAGAACTCTCTTTTATATAAAAGCTCGGGAGTTTAGCATTTCTGCAATAATGAAAATATTAAATAACACTTTCTGAATGAAACACTTGATGATAATCCATTTTTTTTTTTCAATACAAAATTTCATTCCTTTTCTTTTAAACTCTATTGTTCTTACGATGAAAGACACAAAAAATCACTGAATCTTCAAAAATATCTTCAATTCTTATCGTTTTATATCTATATTTTAAACGCGATTTAACAATAAATTATTTAACGAATCATTTGGCTATTTTACACGATAATATAATATTTCGCTTTCTTTTTTACGTTCATTTTATTGCTAAAACGATAACGCAAAACGATAACCAATTAACGGAATCAACTTGCTATCCGTATACACACGTCATATAGAATTGTCGCGGAAGGCATCAAGTTAAGATTCGATACCATTGCTTCTAAACACGAAATTTCATCCCTGGGACAAAATAGCGGCTCCTGTAAATGTTTTAAGTGTATGATCGAATTATTAATCGTATTCGTGGTGCTTTTAGCGTCAACAACTAGGGGAACAACGTTACGCGAAGTGACGGTCGCTAAATGTATTATATACACAGAGGCGAAATATCGTCACCTGACGAACGGGCTAGAATCTATGAACGCCATTAGACGTCTACTTACTTAACGTGATGCAATAACGTATAACATTGCATCTTTGTCGAACTATCGGGCTACTTTATCACTTCTTCCTCTGCACGCGTCGAATATTATGACAGAGTTAAAATATATCCAAAAAAAAGATCGATGCGTTTTTTATTTTAGAATCTTGAACGACTTTTTTTTTTCTATTCTTTATTACTTTTCTTATTTTTTTTTCGAGGACGATTTTTTTCAATAAATTATTGTATTTAATTATTATTACATATTTTTATATTGTAAATTTTACACTTAAAATAGTATTAAATTTAAATTATTTCAATATGATTATATATATATATATATATAATAGTAAAAAAATTCCAAAGTAATATCCTATTTTATCCTAATTTTAATTTAAAAACGTATTATCCATATTTTTCTTCTAGCTATTACACCTCAAATCCAATAAATTTTTGACGGTGAACAAGAGACTTCCGGCACTCCTCGAAAAGAACGCGATGAGGGTGTATCTAGACGCGAATGGAAACGAGGGTTCTTGGCTCTATATAATGCCCTTTTACAAGCTTCGAAGCGATGGAGACAGTGTGGTCGTTGGTGACAAAGTGATTTTGGAGCCAGTGAATGCTGGAAGACAAGGGTTGCATGTGGCCGCCAATTACGAGTTAAGCGACAATCCTGGTTGCAAGGAGGTGAACGTTGTCAATTCAGCCACGTCTTGGAAAGTAACGTTATTTATGGAGCACAGAGAGAATCAGGAGGAGATTTTAAAGGGTGGAGATGTCGTTCGATTGTTCCACGCAGAGCAAGAGAAATTTCTAACGATGGATGAGTACAAGAAGAAGCAACATGTATTTCTTAGGACCACTGGTAGGACGAGTGCCACTGCTGCTACGAGTAGTAAAGCTTTGTGGGAGGTTGAGGTAAACAAATAGTTTAATTTCTCGATACCAACGAGATGTTACTATAATTATTAATTAAGAGAGATTTCAATTAATTATTCTTTTCTGCAGGTCGTTCAACACGATCCTTGCAGAGGAGGAGCTGGTCACTGGAACTCTTTGTTCAGATTTAAACATTTGGCGACAGGGCAATACTTGGCTGCAGAAATTGACACCGACGAACCACGTGAGACCACAAAAGGCAAGCGTGGTAAGATAGATATCTCTGTGTAAAGTAGCATCAACGAGTGGCTTCAAGGATTGTATATGTCAAATTGTCTTTTTATGCATGTTGTAAGAGTAAAGAAACTTTTCATAGTTGTACGAATACGTATTCTTAATTTCTTAATGTTTAATGTCTTTGTAAATATAAATATGATATATAATTGTTTAATTTGTAGATCCACCAGGACCAGTGTACAGATTAGTATCAGTACCACATAGTAATGAAATAAGTTCCTTATTCGAGTTAGATCCAACTACATTAACGAGAGGCGATAGTTTAGTTCCACAATCTTCCTTCGTTAGATTACATCATATATGTACAAATACCTGGGTTCATTCGACTAGTGTACCAATCGATAAGGATGATGAAAAACCTGTTATGTCAAAGGTATTTTAATGAAACTTGTATGTATATGTTGTAATCTGTCCTATTATTCATTCATTGAAATGACACTTGTTTCAATTATATTATAAGGTTGGCTGTGCCATTAACAAAGAAGATAAAGAGGCTTTTGCTTTAAGATCTGTATCGCCAGTCGAGGTGCGAGATCTTGATTTTGCAAACGATGCTTGTAAAGTGTTAGCATCGATTAGTAGCAAACTGGAAAAGGGAACGATTTCACACAATGAAAGACGAGCCGTAACGAGTTTATTACAGGATATAGTATATTTTATAGCTGGTTTAGAAAATGAGCAAAATAAATCCGAAGCTTTAGATTTAATCGTTACTAATGCAGTTAGAGATCGACAAAAATTATTACGAGAACAATATATACTTGGTCAATTATTTAAAATACTTCAGGTATCATACATCATCGTCAAATGTTTCGTTAAATCTAAATTTTAGGTATGTAACTTTTCTAAAGTTTTATTCGTAGGCTCCGTTCCTAGAGTCTGCAGAAGGTGAGGGACCATTTCTTAGGATAGAAGAATTGAACGATCCACGACACGCGCCGTATAAATATATGTTTCGTTTATGTTATCGAATACTTAGATTATCTCAACAAGATTATCGGAAAAATCAGGTATCATATATAATTGCAGTTTATTTTTAATTATCGATAAAATTTTTACTAATTTATTTTTTTAAAACAGGAATATATTGCGAAACACTTTGCTTTTATGCAAAAACAAATTGGATACGATATTTTGGCGGAGGACACTATTACTGCATTATTACATAATAATAGAAAATTATTAGAAAAGCATATCACGGCAGCAGAAATTGAAACTTTTGTAGGACTTGTAAGAAAAAATATGCACAATTGGGAATCTAGATTCCTGGATTATTTATCAGATTTGTGTATTTCTAATAGAAAAGCAATTGCCGTGACACAAGAATTAATTTGCAAAAGTGTATTAAGTGAAAAAAATAAAGATATTTTAATAGAAACTAAGTAAGTAAGAAGACATACTTCATTAATAATAATAATTTTATTATATAAATTATTATCATTATTTTTCTTAGAATGACAAAAACCCAAGTTGAGGTTGAAGAGTTAGATGAAAAACAAGAGAATGATGAACCGCGTATCACTGTGATGGAAGAATATGAAATTTTTCTTATATGGAATAATGGAACGGTTAGTATTCTAATACATATTTTTAGATTTATGTTTAAAGTTTATTCATAATTTTTAATGATGTATGCAGAAATCAATGTCATTAAATGAGTTATCAAGGGGAGCAAAGATAGGCAATATCCAAGACGCGGCAATTTTGGATTACTATAGGCATCAATTAAATCTTTTTAGTAATATGTGTTTAAATAGACAATATTTGGCACTGAATAACTTATCACCCCATTTGGATATTGGTCTTATACTTAAGTAAGTGGAAATAATGTCATCATTATTAAATAATTATTTGTAGTATATGAAATATTTTTATGAAAAATTTAGATGTATGGAGGATGAAACAGTACCATATGAATTGCGCGCATCATTTTGCCGACTTATGTTACATCTTCATGTTGATAGAGATCCACAGGAGCAAGTTACACCAGTTAAATATGCTCGGCTGTGGTCTGAAATTCCTTCGAAAATGAGTATTAATGAGTACGTGAAAACAGAATTACATAATATAGGAAGTAATTGTATATGTTTTGATATCTTTAAAATATGTATTGTGTTTGCTTTTAGTTATGATGCAAACAGGATGCGGGATCAAAATAAAGAAGCTGTACGTGCTAAATTTAGCGCAACTATAATGTTTGTAGAAGATTATTTGTGTAATGTTGTAGCAAAAATGTGGTCCTTTGCCGATCAAGAACAAAATAAACTCACATTTGAAGTAAGATATTATGTTAAATATATTTTATATCTAAAAGAATTTAAATTATATAATGTTACTTTAATATTTTAATAAATTGTTTTAGGTCGTTAAATTGGCACGTGATTTAATTTATTTCGGATTCTATAGTTTCAGTGATCTTTTGAGATTAACGAAAACATTACTCAGTATTTTGGATTGTATTTCAGAAAATGATGTAGCCGATGGAAAAATTCCAACTGGTGAAATTGATTGTAAGTCTATCGTAAAATTGTTTTTTATTAATAGACGCACAATTAACACATCGTTTGGATGTAATATTCCTTGTACAACATTATTAATTCCTGATAATTGTATCCTTTCTTTACACCATAAAATGCCATTGTATCTTTTCCTTTTACATTATGTAAATATTTAATACCGAATAAATAAATGATATCATAAGTCTTTTAACATCCATGTATATAAATTAACAATATAATTATTTTGATAGTATGTAGATAAATTAATAATATAAGTAAATAAATATACACGCACATATATATTATATATATTTATATATATGCACATATTTTGATATATTTATAATAAGTGATTAACTAACTAATATTGAAAACTTCTAAAGCTGATTCTGTGGATTCTAAGGACATAGGTAATATATTATTGCGAATTAATTAGGTAGCATGTTACTTTGTAATATTTTTTGCACTTCTATTTGTTTCACGTAACATCTTCCTTTGATACTTTCCTTCTCAATTTTTTTTATTTAAGTCAGTTAAAAAATATAAATATTTTATTAAAAGCAGCGATCTCAAATAATGTAATTATATTCAACCTTAATTCAATTTTTAAAACTTCAAGTTATTTTTTTTAAATTTATAAAAAAGATATTTAAACGTAAAATCTAAACTCTATTTAATAAATTAAGGATGCATTTAAAAATGTTTATAATATTTAATAGCGGAAGGTGGAGTATTAAGATGTATTGGAGACATGGGTGCAGTAATGACGAGCTTAACATTGGGACCAGCAGGACAAGTATTAGCAGGAAGTTCTTCTCCAAGACCAAAACCACTTTTAAAGAAAGAATATCCTCTGGTGATGGATACAAAATTGAAAATAATCGAAATTTTACAATTTATACTCGATGTTCGATTGGATTATAGAATTTCTTGTTTATTGAGTATTTTCAAACAAGAATTTGATGAAACTGAAAGAGCTTCTGGTGATTTGAGTCTCGGCCAGAAAACTATTGATTTAGAATTAATAGGTACACAAGCGGAAGGTATATTTGGTAGCAGGTAATACATTATTCATTTTTTATAATATAATCTTTTTTTCTACTTAATTAAATAAATATTTCATGAATTATTTTATTTAGCGAGGAATGTGTGGCATTAGATTTAGATGGACAAGGTGGTAAAACATTTCTGCGTGTTTTACTCCATTTGGCAATGCATGACTATCCTCCACTAGTTTCCGGAGCATTACATTTGCTTTTTAGGCATTTTAGCCAAAGACAAGAAGTTTTACAAGCATTTAAACAAGTATGTTATATTATTTGTAATATTGTATAATATAAATGAAAAAAATATAAACTTATTAAATTATTGTAAATAGGTTCAACTTTTGGTTTCCGATAGTGATGTTGAATCTTATAAACAAATAAAATCAGATTTGGACGTTTTAAGACAATCAGTTGAAAAATCGGAACTTTGGGTTTATAAATCTAAAGCATCAGAAGAACATGGCAATAAAAAGAAGAAAAATAAAGAAGAAGAAGATGATGGAGCTACTCCTCGTAAAGCACCACCACAACTATCTACCACGGATAAGAAAGGTTTTGTTAATAATTTTTTTTAAATAAAATGTAGAAATAAGTAAAAATCAAAGACAAAAAATTTTTCTAATATAAATATTATTTATAATTATAGGATCTGCAATAGATTTAGATATTGGTCCACCATTACATGCAGATCAAGCGGAGGAATATAAAAAAATACAGCAAATTCTAATTCGAATGAACAAATTATGTATCCAAACGATAGGTGGTCAAATAAAACCACGAAAACACGAACAAAGACTTTTACGTAATGTTGGAGTACACACCGTTGTTTTAGATTTATTACAAGTTCCATTTGATGCGAAAGAAGATGTTAGAATGAATGAGTTAATGCGATTAGCACATGATTTCTTGCAAAATTTTTGTTTAGGAAATCAACAAAATCAAGTTCTATTGCATAAACAATTAGATTTATTTTTGAATCCTGGTATACGCGAAGCTCAAACAATATGTAGTATTTTTCAAGATAATTCGACTTTGTGCAATGAAGTAAGTGCTAAAGTGATACAACATTTTGTGCATTGCATAGAAACTCATGGGAAACATGTGCAATATTTAAAATTTCTTCAAACAATAGTAAAAGCCGAAAATCAATTTATCAGAAAATGTCAGGAAATGGTGATGCAAGAAGTAAGTGATACTAATTTGGAAAAATAAATTCATTTATATTTAAAAATATGTAAATTATTAATAATTGCTTTTTTTTAGTTGGTTCAAGCAGGTGAAGACGTTTTAGTTTTTTATAATGATCGAGCTTCTTTTAATCACTTTGTGGAAATGATGCGATCTGAACGACATCGGATGGATGAAAGTAGTCCACTTAAGTATGTATTTAAAATATAAATATAATAGTTATAATTATGATAATTATGTTTCATATATATATAAGAATATATAATATATATTTTAGGTATCACGTAGAATTAGTTAAATTATTAGCTTGTTGTACAATGGGCAAGAATGTTAATACTGAAATTAAATGTCACAGTCTTTTACCACTAGATGATATTGTTGCTATGGTATCACATCCGGATTGTATACCAGAAGTAAGTTATTTGATAATTATTTCTGAAAAAAAAAATATTTTTAAAATGAATTACGAATAATTATATTTTATAGGTAAAAGAAGCATATATAAATTTTCTCAATCATTGTTACATTGATACGGAAGTAGAAATGAAAGAAATTTACACATCAAATCATATGTGGTCATTATTTGAAAAATCATTCATTGTAGATATGGGAATTATAGCAACAGCTACACATGATCGCGAACATGCTGATATATCTCTGGAAAATTATGTGACAGGTTGCCTAATGAATATCATTACAACGTTCTTTAGCAGTCCATTTTCAGATCAAAGTACCACAGTGCAGGTATTGTATTTCTCTACTTCATTTTTTAAAATAAACTTCATGGTTTTCGTTTTCTCTTGAAAATATATTTATAAAATTACAATTCAAATCTATATTATAATTGGCCTAAATGTTAAATTTAACAAAATTATTTATCTCTGTTATTTAAACTTGTGAAACTTGTCACACGAATTTTCGAACTAATATTAATAGTTATTTGATAGATTTGACACTCTAATTTATTGAGCACATCAATTTATTATACACAAATAATTAATAAGTAGAACAAAAATTATTTTTTATTATATGTATTTATGTAATTTTGATAGCACAACTAATAATAGCACAAGTTCATCATTTTTTCACATAATATTAATTTTTTTATCGATTTATTTATGATTATATTTATTTCTATTAAATTTTAAATTGTACAGTTAATATTATTTGTATAATGAGATATATACATAGCAAATTAATAAGATATTATTGTTTTTTAGTATTTTAATTATAGTTATATAAGTAATTATCTTATAATATAAATACTTAAAAATTAAATATTTGTTATGTTTCATTACTTAACTGAAGTACATCATAATGGAGGTAATTTTTCGAAAACAATATAATTTCGAAAATTTCTAAATTAGAACTAATGTAATAATTAGAATTTTCTAAAATTGTATATTTATTATAGTAAGTTATAAATATAATAGTAATATTAATATAAATTAATATAATATAAAAGTTTTTTTTAAATATAAATTTGATTTCCAAATATAAGCATAATAAATAAACATAAAGTAATTAAGTTAACATAAAGTAATTACATGCAAAAATCTGTGCAATTACTCTATTATTTAATTTATCTGATTAATTTCTCGCTTTGCATGATAAACACATTAATTTAGATTTATTTAGAAGCCAAGTACATATCACACATTTATGAAGGCATTAATATTTATTTAACTAATCATTTGTTTTATTTCATTTAATACTTCATAATATATATGCATATTTTTTTTTTATATCGGTATATTTGTTTGTTTATCCTGGTACGCCAGAGTAATACTATAAATTAATAATTATAGCGATAATATATTTTTTGATGTGTGCTTGGTAATTGGTGATTGCATCAGCGGCATGTTCTGTGTTTTTGGCATGCAACACCTGGCCTTCTTTGACTCATCAACATTGGTTTACTGGGTCTGGGTGCTGGGTCTATATGGTGGTGGGTTGATTTACTAATAGAAACATCTCCACGAAGCTAGACTTTATTGGAACATCAAGGAAAGTGACCGGATTACTGATACTAATCTTGCTGGCTGTGTGAGTACCGATATTAAAAAAATGTCCAGTTATGAGCAACTGTAAATACACTTGCAATACTAATATGATACAATATAATTTAATGATTAGATTTGAGATTAAAAAGAAGAAAATTTTATTCATTATTCATCACTGTACATATTTTTTACTATAAATAATCTTTTTAATTAAAAAATTTTGTATAAATATTCATTGTAAATACATTTTTATATAATTCAATAATAGCACAATTTAAAGAAAATTGAAAAATATAAATGTGATTCATTTAATGATATTTTTCACATTCCAAAGTTTAAATGTTGTAAATATAAACTCTAATATGTATTTGGATTAAACTAACACATTCACTGTCTTTAATGACTAAGCAAGCTTGCTATATAAATTAAATACTAACCAAATCTTATTTTATTTGGAATACTCTTCTATATCTATCCTTTTGCATTTCATGCAGCATGCAGAATCTGTGGTTTTAACATATATGAAACAATTTTCTTATTGAAGCTTGGCAATGAGTGTGTTATATTACGTACAAAAAGTAATTATTAATTTAAAATTAATTATAATTATAATATTTTATTATATAATAATAATAATATATAATATATAATAATAATTATAATTATAATATTTTGTTATATTATGGATAATGAGTGTATCTGCTCTGTATAAACTTAAACAAAAGTTATAATATAAAAAGTAAATACAATTATAAAATAATTAATAATATAATTAATAATAATATACATACATATATATTAAATTTTAAATGATATTAAAAGAAATTTTTTTTTATAACAGACTCGACAACCTATATTCGTTCAATTACTTCATGCGGCTTTTAAAGTTTCACAATGTTCATGGCTAAATGCTGGTCAAAGATTTAATGTTGAAAATTGTATACGAACGTTGTCGGATGTAGGTAAGTTTGAATTGCTGAATTCAATTGCTGAATTATATAAATTTAAGACTTTTCTGTATATTCATTTTATATTTATAAAAAAAATGTTATTAAATCATCAGCTAAAGGGAGAGGTATAGCCATTCCAACAGATTTAGAAAGCCAAGTTGCTTCTATGTTTAATAAAGCAGCAATGCTTAGTAGACAAACAAGTAAATGGCTTCAAGCTGCAAAACAACCAAAGATAGAACGTACACAAAGTCAGGTAATTTTTCTTGAAAGACTTATTTTAAAAATCAATTAATTAAAAACCTTTTTGGTTTTTATCAATTTTTATACTATATATTGAATGACTATATAATCCATTTATAATTGATATGATCTTTGAATGTATAGAGTGACTTAATTTGTGAGGAAGATAGGGAAGAGAAAGATCAGGTATAAGTCACTCATAAAAATTTGAGTTTAGTAGCTTAATATGATTTTAGTGCTTTAGTGTAGTTCAACATTAGTGAACCCTAGTTTGCGAATAGTATCCACAAAACTACGAACAAATAGGATATTATATGTATTATAAAATAACAGAATTATTATATAGATATATAATATATTAGAAAAAATATTTATATTTTTAATCATTATGATGAATTATTTTTTTATGAAATAATATATTTTTATATAGCTGATGCGTTTGGATCGAAGTATCATAGAAGGTTTACAAGATATAGTATCGTTACTAGAAGAACAATTGAAACCACTAGTTCAGTCAGAATTATCTTTATTAGTGGATATACTCTATCGACCAGAATTACTATTTCCAGCTGCGACTGACGCTAGAAAACGATGCGAAAATGGCGGTTTTATCAAAAGGTGAATAATTTTCTAACAATTAATATTATTTTAATACATTTTGTCACCAATAATTCTATATTATTCAGATTAATCAAACATACTGAAAAATTACTTGAAGAGAAGGAAGAAAAATTATGCGTAAAGGTGTTAAGGACTCTTAGAGAAATGATGGCTATTGATCCTGAATATGGAGAAAAAGTGAGTTCTGCAATATTATATTCTGCATGTGATTACAAGAATCATATCTACTATATGAAGAGAATCACAGATATTATGGAAAAGGGCATTCAGTTGTTTCCGACAAAATGTTATTGATATTAATTAACGGTGACAAATCCTTTAGGCATGCTTTATTTATTACATTAATTAGCTTAATACTAATAGGTCTTTTGGAATGTAATAGCGATTGATGTTATTGCCTTTAGTGTATCGATACATTTAACAATTTCAGCAATTTTCGAGCTTACAACAAATGTGATTAAATTAAATGCATGCGCAAATTTGATAGATATGTAAGTTTTCGTAAGCGCATATAAAAAGTCAAAATCATTATATTAAAAATATTAGCAATCAACAAAGCAAAAAATCAAAATGCTAAATAATTTCATTTTTATCGCTTTTTTAAATTAAAATATATTAATGCTCTATTGCATCAAGAGGGAAAGATTTTGAAAATATTATTTGGAGCATGCCATTTTTAATTGGGATTTGTTGCCGTTAATTAGCACCGCACCTCAATTGATTAAATATGTTATCGCTCTAAGATCTAAATGAACCTACATTTACGAAAATTTGTGTCTCCATATCCATTCGTTCTTTACATGTTTGCCGAAAAGCTAAATGCCCATATGTTCACGGCACATTTTAGATAATCAGCATATACACGATTGACAGTTATTTTAGTTAGCATATATAAAATAAAGCGAATGAAGTGAAACATATAATAAAATCTTTTATACTACAAAGATTTAAATAACGTGGGTGAGTAGGTTTCGTAGAATAGATATGTAGGTAAAGATGTTTTCATGCTGCAAACGAAGAGCGAAGATGACTTGGAAAAAGAAGAAACAGAGCAGAAGGCCGAGTCACAAGTTGGAACAGACTCTGTCGATGAGTCTGAGACTCGTCCAATGACTCAGCAAGAGCGGGTAAAAATTAAAGTAGATAACAACGGTAATTTGTGGGCACAACGTATATAAATTGACAACATGAATTTGATTTAATACGAGTTTATCTTACTATCGTTATTTATTACATATTTTTACAAAATATTAAATATTTTTTTATTTTAATTCTTATACATGCAATATAATATATAGGGCATCCCGTTGATAGATAAGGAATTTATAATCTGTCAATATTAATATTAAAAGCACATATATATTAATTATATTAATTATATTTTATAATTTTATGAAATTTAAATATATGTTTTTTAATAATTATTTGTAACAATCTGCGTAACATACATAATGAAATGAATTTGCTTAAGAACAAATATAATGTACGTTGTGTAGGTACCTTATATGCATGTGCTTGATTGATTTCATTACATACACTATAGTTCATTTTATCTACTGTACTCTATCATATTCTTATATTAATTCTTCTTTTTTAATAAATAGGATATAAGCATTATTATATTAGTATAGGTATATGTGATTTCGTGTATAAAAATAATTATGATTTACGATATAAAAACGATATTGATATTATGTCGATCTTTTTTTTTTTTTTTACTTGAACATGAGTATTTGAATTGATAAGCAAATAATTATTTGAATAAGTTGAATAATTTCAACTTATCGTGAATCAAAATTTCTATAGAATTCTTAAATTATTTTACCTAGTGTAAAATAACTCTTTATTTCAGTATGGGCATAGAGTTTAGAAATAGAAAGAATAAGAAAGTACAGTATATGTACATATATTTTTATTACAAATAGGGTGTACCAATACGTCTCTAGATTTTTTACCATTTTTTAATACTAAATTATATCCTTTGTAGTATGAGAATAACGTAGAACGTAGAATTCAGATTGCATTTTAAATATAGAATTATTAAACAATTAAATAAGTATATTAGAAATTGCAAAAATGTACACATATAGTACATCTACATATACTGTATCTAAAACGATTCATTCTCTTTGTTATTCCCTTATTCTTAATACATTAAACATCTCTCTGTATAATTCACAAAGTCTATCTATTTAATTCTGCATTTTTCCTCAGAATTTCCAATCTAAACATAATTTTGTTATGTATTTTTTAAAATATATCACAATATTTTTAATAAAAATTATTAATTTCCATTAATTACATTTGTTTTCACATAAAGTCAATTAGGATATATATTAAAATATAAAGAGCTGCAAGTATTTTTCTTATTCTGAAGCACAAGTAATGTATATACACATCGATTTAATTATTTTTATTATTAAATCAATTACTAATATTTACATAATATATAACAGATATGATGCACCGATATTCCCTTTAAAATATAACTTTTCGAACTTTTTTCAATTATTATGCACGATGTATTGGTACATCTCGTATAATTCAAATTTATTTTATCATACTAATATTTTTCTTGTTTCCTTTTTCCTAGGGAGATGCATTAAGAAACAATCTCTTGACTCGTTACTTTGGAAAATCCTTTATACAAAAACCGGAAACCGTGGAAATTGGAGTTTCGCATAGTGCTCCAGTTACTCATGGACCAGGAGGTATAGATGAAATTTTAAAAAAATTATTTTTTTTTTGATTTAAAAATTTTATTAAATAATTCAATCCCAATAGCTAAACTATTGAGTCGGGCGGGCCGCACTTTGCACGAAATTCAAAGTCATCTTGATCGTGAAGGCGCCTCAGATTTGGTAGTGGAGTTGGTAATTAAAAGTGTACACTCTCCGAGTATATTTGTCGAAGCTATAGAACTTGGTATTGCATTATTGGAAGGAGGAAATCCTATTATTCAGAAAAGCGTATACAATAAATTGATGGGTGGTGATTTAAGCCAATCCTTTTTCAAGGCATGTTAATCAATATTATTTTAAACGCTTTGATGAAGTTATAAGAACAAATAATTTAATATAGAAAATATATAATTTAATAGGTATTTTACGATAAGATGAAAGACGCGCAACAAGAAATCAAATCTACGGTTACCGTAAATACCTCTGATATAGCAGCTAAAGCTCATGAAGACAAAGAGCAGAATAAAGAAATAGAAAAGATATCGAGAAAGCGTACATCAGGTATAATACAATCGTATTCCAATTAAATTCGTTTAGATTTGTTTGACATTAATTTCTGTTCTATACAGGAAAGCCTAATGGAATAGTAATAACAGATGAATTACGAGAAGAATTGAATCAGGCTGCATCATCCACTGTTCAAGCATATGCGAATGTTCGTAATCTTGCTTCTGGTGATGATGCATCGAATAATGCAGCTCTCGGTAGTGCACTCGAAGACATGATAGCTGAGAAATTGGAAAGGCATCGTACTGGAACGAGTGGTACGGAAAGGGATGAAGGACAATTGAGTGCCAAGGTTTTAGTAATGCAACCAATTTTACGTTCTTGCAATTATTGTGTGAAAATCACAATCGTGATTTGCAGGTAAGATTTTTTTGACTTTCGTATTAACTTTAATATTATTTTCGATATTGCAGAATTTATTGTATTAATATTTTTTTTATTTTTACAGAATTTCTTACGTAATCAAAATAACAAAACGAACTTTAATTTAGTATCCGAAACGCTTATGTTTTTGGATTGCATCTGCGGTTCAACGACTGGCGGATTAGGATTGTTAGGATTGTATATAAATGAACATAATGTTGCGCTGATCAATCAGACTTTGGAAACATTAACAGAATATTGTCAGGGACCATGTCATGATAACCAAAATTGTATCGCGACTCACGAATCTAATGGATTAGATATAATTACAGCCTTGATACTGAATGATATTAATCCTTTGGGAAAGACTAGGATGGATTTAGTTTTAGAGTTAAAAAATAATGCTAGCAAATTGTTGCTCGCTATAATGGAAAGTAGAGGAGACAGCGAAAATGCAGAAAGAATTATGTATAATATGAATCCAAAACAATTAGTTGATGTTGCATGTCGTGCGTTTCATCAAGAATCTTTAGATGATGATGGTGATACGGATGATTCCTCTACAGATGGTGAAGAAGGAGTATCACCCAAAGAAGTAATATATTTGAAAATTAATAAATTTCGAATAATATACAAAAATAAAAAATAGGATAGTAATTATTATTTTTGTAGGTTGGACATAATATTTATATTTTATGTCATCAATTAGCACAACACAATAAAGAATTAGCATCGATGTTAAAACCATCTGAACAAAATAATGCAGATCCAAAAATTAATAAAGCATTACAATATTATGCAACTCATACAGCTCAAATTGAGGTATAATATAATATTTATATTATATACAAAAACATTTTAAAAATAACTTGTAATTTATTTTATATAGATTGTTAGGCATGATAGAACATTGGAACAAATTGTGTTTCCTATTCCTGAAATTTGTGAACTTATTACATTGGACACAAAGATTAAAGTATTACATACTACAGAACGTGATGACCAAGGGTCGAAAGTTTCAGACTTCTTTGAAAGGACTGAAGATATGTTCAATGAAATGAAGTGGCAAAAGAAGCTTAGAGGTATGATATCTCAATTTTGTTCATTACATTTCTTAAAAAATATATTCTTTATAATTTTTTAGGACAACCAGTACTATTTTGGATGAGCAGTTATATGTCACTTTGGAGCAATATTTTATTCAATTGTGCAGTACTCATAAATCTTATTGTAGCTTTCTTCTATCCATTTGTAGACTCTGTGCCTAGTAAGTTTTTTTTGCTAACAATTTTTTTTTATCGGATAAATGAATTTAAATGTTTATTTCTTTTTTTATTGTAGAACTAAGTTCACATTTATCTGCTCTTATTTGGACGGTAATGTTATCGTCTGCAGTTATTGTCATTACACTACCACGAGAATCTGGTATACGAACGTTAGTAGCTTCAACAATATTACGATTGATTTTTTCTATAGGACCAAAACCAACGTTATGGTTACTCGGTTTCCTTACGGTAATAGATTTAGAAATTTTTAAAAAAATATATAAGTAAAATGCTATTTTATTTATATTTACTTTTGTATTTATATAATTAATATTTTTTAGGTTGTATTAAAAGTTGTACATCTTATAAGTATTATAGGTAATCAGGGCACTTTAACGAAGAGTTTAGAGCAAATAGTGACGAATGTTGAACTTTTGTATCATATATCGTATCTTATATTTTGCGTTCTTGGTATTTGTATGCATCCATTTTTCTACTCAGTTTTAGTACGTATTAAAATATTAGAATAATTTGATATAAATTTAAGGCAAAATATTAAATTTTATATATTTTAGCTCTTTGATGTAGTGTATCGCGAAGAAACATTGCTCAATGTAATAAGATCTGTTACAAGAAACGGAAGATCCATTATACTTACTGCTGTATTGGCATTAATTCTAGTTTATATGTTTTCCATTATTGGTTTTATGTTTTTCAAAGATGATTTCCTAGTAACAGTTGATGAAAATCTTGCGTGTAAGTATAATATCTAACATTTTATAATTATCTTTAATGATAAAAATATTGACTTTTTATTTACATTAATTATAGCATCATACGTGACTGAAAATGTAGATACTTGTGATGCTGCTGATAATGAAAAATGTGAAGCAACGGAAACAGTATCTCGATATATACGCGAAGGTATTTATTTAAAAACATCCTTTATTATAAAAATATAATTATTTTCAATTTTTATACCGTTACAATTATGCAGCTCATGAAAAAGACAGTCTAGCAGAAGTAATTAATGTTGGTGGAGAGTTAAAAGAACGAGCATGCGATTCTCTGGTTATGTGTATTGTTACAACTTTGAATCAAGGTTTAAGAAATGGTGGAGGTATAGGAGATATTTTACGGGCACCATCTAGTACTGTAAGTATAGAAACAAAATAACATGAAGATGCTATATAAGATCTCAATATATTGATGATAATTGTTTTGCAGGAACCTTTGTTTGTTGCTAGAGTTGTATATGACTTATTGTTCTTCTTCATTGTAATAATTATTGTTCTGAATCTCATTTTTGGTGTTATTATCGATACATTTGCTGATCTCAGATCAGAAAAGCAACAAAAAGAATTAATTTTGAAGAATACCTGTTTCATTTGTGGTAAAGTATAATTTTTTAAGTATTATTTTATTTATTTGACTTTATTGTACATAATATTTAATTTTATAGGATTGAATAGATCGTCTTTCGATAACAAGACGGTTTCCTTTGAAGAACACGTAAAACATGAACATAATATGTGGCATTATCTATATTTCATTGTTCTGGTAAAAGTGAAAGATCCTACAGAATTCACAGGTCCAGAATCTTACGTGTATGCTATGGTGAAGGTAATAGTCCATAGAGCTTCAAAAAATTGAATCGTGCTTAAACTTTTAAGCTCTGTGTACTTTTTACAGGACCGAAATCTTGACTGGTTCCCGAGATTGAGAGCCAAATCGTTGGCAGCAGATGAGGGAGAAGGGGAACAAGTAGAATTAAGAAGTTTACAATCTCAATTAGAATCCACGCAACAGTTAGTGAAATGTTTATCTCAACAACTTACTGAGCTTCGCGATCAGGTAAATTATGTTTAAGAATTTATGTTATTGTGAATATTTTGATAAATTATATAGATCTAAATTTTTTTTACTAAATTTTTTCTTTCAATAGATGACGGAGCAACGAAAACAGAAGCAACGGCTAGGCCTTTTGAATTCTGCATCGGCATTTTTACACAATGTACCAGCGTAAATCTAAGTAATGCACTTCAGAATTTCGTTTTTAATCATATAGGAATCTCAATTTGATACTCTAACATGATATTTAATTGATAAGTTTGTGTGTTCTTAAAAAGCATTTAAAGACACAGGGAAGTACTATGAGAGTAACACATGTAGCATTTGTACGGTTTTGTTCCTAACTTCAAAGAAAGTTATTTAAGTAGGATAGTAAAACTCAAATTGATTAAAAATAATATTAATTTTGTTGTTTTTAAACGAAGAAAAAGTACATTTTGTAATGAATTGCAAGTGAATTGCATATGTGTTAAACAAATTTAGTCGGTTAATTGAAAAATTACATTAAATTTAAAAGATATCAAATCAATTTCATTGCAAATAATTTTAGTAGGGTCCGTGTTACTTAAAACTAAACGATCAGAAAAAATCTTAAAGAATGGTATTTTTATCATTACATAAATAAATAGCCAAAGGAGTGTATCAAAGTGTGCTGTTATAAATAAAATATATCTAAAATTTTCATTGAGATTTTAATATGTTTACGATTTGTTTAAAAGTTCTTAAGAATGTTGATCATTAAATGGATATGTAAAATAAATATCTGATTGATTTTATTGGTAAAATTGATTTTTGGTTGTGTTATAAGTGTTTAAGTTTGTAAAATAGAAAAATTTTTCAATTATATTATTTTTAAAAGAATTTTTATAAAGTAATTTCGTACGATAGATTGAGGAATATTAGATTTTTCCTCTCTTGAATTTTCATTAAAAAATACGCACAGATTTTTAAGCAACGTGCGTAGAAATTTTAATAAAATAAATATCTTTTTTAAATATTAAGATATTAAACATTATATTATTAAATTATTTACTGATTTTAAATTTAATTTAAAAAAATTGTCAAAATAAATTAAATAATAAAAAGTTGTTATCTGATTATGAATTTATAAAGCAATAGAAAAAGCAAAAAAATAAAATAATCGTTATATAATTGTACGTCTGTTACAAAATTTTAATGCTTATTAATACCGTTTAATAGATATACTAATAATTTATAGTGATGGGAAATGTGAATAAATGATTATGATAATGATTTCAAATGATCATTATGCGACAGATTTTCATGTGATTTCTCATAAATATTTATAGGAAATCAATGTCAATGAATATTATTGTTTAGTTCTGAATGCATAGATGTAAGTTAAGATAATTGTTGTATCTAAAATATGTTAAATGAAAATCTATAGAAATTGTTATTATGCACCGAAAACATGAATATTGTGTGCATTATAATGTTACGTTTTCAATTCGTTAAAATTTATTTTCCACTAACAGTGTTTTACAGTATCCATCCCTATCTATATATGTATAAATATTTATACAATATATTGTATATTGATAATTTGTTTTCATTTTTAAATAGTAAAAATAGATGTATATACGCATACATTTATTAAATTAAATGTTTTAAGTTAAATGTTTATCACACTCCACAATTCGTATTTGAGAATACAATTATTGCAATTAGAAATGTCGTTTCTGTTTGTGCCAATTTTATAAAATATTAGCGAATCGTTATTCATTTGAGATTTTCATCTTAAATGAAAGAGAATAAATTAAATCGCAAATGTGTTATTTATAGATGTACATGTTTCATCTTCCGATCGTAGGATGTATAAATATGTATGTAGAATTGTATTAAAACTTGTATGTGAATAAATTGTCCTTTTTTTATCAAATCAATTTTATGATTTAATTTAATCTTTATACATGGTTGTACGAAATTTAAAAAATGTAAAACAAAAAATATATTTTATCTATGGATTTTTATATAACGTATATTCATTTTATATTTAGAATGTCTTACATTACCACTTTAATTTATATCATTGTTTTTCTTCATAATAAAAAATATTTCAGATAAAAGTTGAATAATTTCAAAAGAAGTATATGCTAATATTTATGTTTCCATAAATGAACATAAAAGTCGTATGAGGATTAAATTATTTTTTTTAAATAGAATTATATATTTTTTAATATAAGTGCAACACGTTATTCCTTATAAAAAATGTTTTTTATAAGGAATATTTCTATAATACAAAGATATTTTAATTACGTAAAACATCTGATATATTGTTAAATTTTTTAATTAAATTTCAATCTCAAAAACAAATTATCAAACGTTTAGTATTGCAAAACGTGGCAACTTTTATTGTAAGAAATAAATATAAAAAAGATAAGTTTACTTTTTACCTTTAGAAAATGTTGAGAAAACGATACGAGAAAATCCCTCCAAAAATAACGGTTGCAAATATGCAATAAAATTTTTCCACAAGTATTCGAGAGATAGCGCTATTCCTAAATTCTTATTTTATCTTATTTTGCTTATTATTGCTAGTCAAAAGATGGTACTGATAGTTAATTCTTATCTTATTTCTATCTTTTTCTTACTATTTGCTTTCTTTATATAGACTTGTTTAATTTAAAAATGGCGTTGATTTTATAATTTTTATCGTATCTCTATATCTTGTTCTATTATTTGTGTCACTATTGCTTCCTTGAGATTTCATATTATTCATATCATTGGGATACATATTATTCAGGTAAGAAATCATAACTATATATCTAATTTCTGTTTTATTTTATTCGTACTTTATATGAAACAATTGACTATTTATTCTGACTTAAGTATACTAGTACATATATGTAACATGTATCTTTCCTTTGTAAGATAAATGTGTCTTGTGCAAAACCGGTACATTCATTTAAGGAACAAATTACAATCGTTGTTAGGACGTAATCCAGTAATGTAGAAAGGAACGGTCCACTCATAATTTTATTTCTTTTTATTTTTCGTTCGTAATGATGATAACTCTTTAGAGTGAACAACTGAAATTTCTATCGAGAAACGATTCACCGATTTCAAACACAAGTCACTTAAATCACATGCCATTGTTGTTTGCCTGATATAAATTATTTATTAAATGGTGTATGTATGTCTCTTCTTTTTCGATAATGTCACTTCTTAAAACGATATTAATTAATTACATTGTGACTTTCATCTCTGTTTCGACGAGGTTGCAAAAAAGAGACTATCGATTATTTCTTCTATTCGAGCGCTTATTCTTTTATTATACAAATCTTAACATTTTTATCCTTCATCGTGGATAAATTTCTATTTTTTATTTATTAGTCGTTTCGATCATTACTAGCCTTCAAGTCGCATTCTGATAAAATTCAGTCTTTCTATTAGCTAAAATTATAAATTAATTCCAAAAAAAATTAAAATTATTATTATTATCAATTCTTCTCATAATGAACACATTCCTATTAATCAGTAAAAATTGTGCGGTAAATCATTTATTATATTTATTCAATTATAAATGAAATGTTAACAGAAGCATTAAAATTAATATATAATATCGAAGGTTCGTAATGATTCGAATGAATCTCACGCAACAAGAGGTCGTTTTATACATGTTATGATTTAATTAGAAATTTTAACAGGCATTAAAGTCTCTGGTAATATAATTGCATTGTTTCGATGCGAAATGGTACAGTTTGTGCAATTACGAAGTATAAAAATGCTACTAAAAATAAACAATAGAAGTCACCATATATACGATAGCTACAAAAGATTGTTATTTAAATGCGTTAAACGAAAAATATGACTCATTATATTCTGTACAAATAATGGCAGCAATATCGTAATGCTATAAAACTTAACCAATAGAAACATTTTCACATCGTGGATGGTTCTTTTAATTCAATAAGCCTGTGTCATTTAGCTTAATATTTACTTTTTAATCTATAAATATATTAAACATTTATGTTCTAGTCCATTCCGTTTATTCTAACGATCAATCGCATTTCCGGAAGTCGATCAAGAAACAATTACTTCTTTAAAAAATTCCAAGTTTTTATTTGATTATTTTTCATTTCGTGAAATAAATATTGTTTTTCACCGCGAAAGAAAAGTTTTTTTGACAGAATTCTATAAATGTGTTAACAATTATTCGCAATATTGCCTTAGGACACTCGAAGCTCGTTCGATAAAATACAATTTGTTTTCGTTCGTGAGTTCGCACCATGTTTACGATATATTGCCGCGTAATTTACAATTATATCGAGGTCTTAATATACTTCGTGATATTCTGTACAAATCTCATTATTCGTTATTCACGTATTTACAAGAAACTATAATATAGAATTTCTTTTCTTACATATTTATTTTGGCATTTGCGTGAAAATGATGACGCGTGGTTTTTCGCTATTTCAAATCCGTGCATCGCGTTTTTTTCCTTTGTTTCTTTTCGTACGTATAACTTGCTATATTTATATTTATATTTATATTTATGTATAATTATATGATTGACAGAATATGAGTGACGCATAGAAAGAATTTTAAATACTTCAATATATAAAGGTTATAAAACATTATATAAAAAATTATTGATGCGAATATTATATAATGAAAATAAATAATTTAATAAAATATAATATAATTTTGTCATTTTTTTTATCTTTAATAATACTAGAAATAAATAATGTTAATAAGAATAGATAATATTTAAATATTTCTTTATAAATGTCTCAATCTGTATATAAATTTATGTATATGTATATATATATATATATAATATGTACATGCTCTATTAGACTCTTATAATTAAAACGAATGGTATACACCGAGTGTGTGATTTGTAATTATATATATATATATATTTCTCTCTTTTTTTTCTCTGATTCGCATTTAATTCATTTTATATGTATGTAATTCGACTAGAGCGTTGAATTCCAAAATTCGATTTCATGCCATTCATTCTCTTCAATTTATCGGATGAAATTTTAACTTTGTTAATATTCATCTACGTGTGATAATATCGAACAATTACGCTAAAATATCGGCAATTGAAAAATATCTGAGCATTCGATTAAATCGTTTTAGAATTTTCGTGTTCTTTGATCAGCATTCGATGCTCTTGCTTGCTCGAGAACTGTGATTGCAAATTAATCTTTATTACACATTTTATTATCCACTTTGTACGGATGAAATCCCATTTTAAATGAAAAAAAAAAAAATAGATTGCAGACGAGTAATATACAATTTAAAAAATAATTGTCGAATATTTGCGTAGAAACGGACTAAAAATGAATTTCGTTTAATCGCAATTATTCTCGAGCAATCTATTTAATTTAGAATACACTCGGTTCCCGTATGATTAAAAGCGAGGTAACTTTATGGCGACTGATTTTAATATTTTATCAAAAGGGCACGACTTTTTCCCTTCTAAACTTTTAGAAAACTTCACACAATATCGAATGACGTAATGTTTTATGAAAACTAACATGAAACTTTTAAAACTTCCATAATAAGTTTCGTTTTATGCAATCATTTCGCTCTTTAAACATTTCTATCCATAAACTTTTTTATTTTCGGAGAAAACTGAACCGCTGAAAGAACTTTCGGGAAACACGATCGTAGTCATTACGATAATATTAAATTTCAAGTTCGTTCACACACGGTGTGGTACAATAGTACAAATCTTAGGCTCGTTCGCAACAGTTTGTCTCTGATTGTGAACAGGAACGTGTATGGGACACGGTGTGTCGAGTAGACTCAACAACCGGCCACGTAAGCGAGTAGTATAGCGAACAGAATTAGGATTCGCGTTTCTAGCAGTCCGTTTCCAGTCGAGGAGTTTATCACGTGATTCGGTGCTGGCGATGGCCCGCTCTTGTGCGTGTTTGCGATTACAGACTCGCTCCGCCATTTCATCGTGTATTCCGGCGCTGTCCTTCCTAGCGCTTGCAATCTGTGAACAGATCGTTTAATAAATGTAACAAAGATAAATCAATGAAAATCTAAAGCCGAATAAATCCATCGAATCACGTTTAGAAAACTTTCTTCAAGATCTATCTTATCTAACATGAACAAGAAATAAATGCAGGTGAAAAAAGTGACCAACGAAACGATTCTTATAACGTACTTTTAGAAGAGTTTGATATATTATTCTGATATGCATCATTATTCTTGACCTGCTCTCTATCAAGACCAAGCTCAAACGCGATTTCTCACACGTGGGAAAAAAAGAAAAGAAAATGATTCTTCAGGAAACTTTTACACGCGTAATATCCAAGGATTTTCACGGTCTCTTCGCGCTCGAGGAAACGTCGTGTCGATACACAAACCATGACAAATGTAATCTCTGCGCGACTTTATCCGGCCTCAAACGATTCCCCATTGGATGCTGGATAAATCTTTCCGGGCGATCGATTTTTAAGTTGGCCCTCTCACCCGCGCAAAAACGCGGCCATATAAATTGCCCCCATAATTCAGGTCGTGGTGTCATAATCTCCTCGAGAAAAGTGTCGCGTAACTGTCGTTAGTCGACGTCGATGGACGAAGTTTCCCCTCAACTTCCGGCTAATCTGTCCACCGAACCGAAGAAGGGATAGGACTCACCTAACCACCACGGTGTTCGTCTTCCATGGTAGGGTGAAATTTTTGTACGTGTCTCTCGAGCAAAATGTGTGCAATCTTGGCCCGGCCGGGTCTCCGTTCTTGCTGTACTCGTGTATCGTCAAATTCCACGCGGTGCAGGGACCTGAGAAAAAGAAAAATGAAAGAAATCAATTTTTTCCAACGACGAAGAAATCGCGAATGATTATGGAATTTTTATTTTCTAGATAAAATTTCGAAAAAGTTGCGTGTTCTATATATAAGTAATACGGGATTAAGAAAGGAAGCGAGAGATTTCAATAAATAATTTAAACGTAAAACAGGATTAAAAATTGCACTTCTTTTTGATAATATAAATTAGCATTAATATTATGGTACGTTTAAATTAATATTGAAAAATGATTAATCAAACATTTCACGATTAACACTGAATTCTGAATTAAGATTAAAATTACTCATTTACAATTCTTGCCTTCATTATTTCGAGATTTATGATCTTTTTCAAAATTTAATGATACAATTATTATTACGTGCACATTTGTTGGCAGTTTCGTATCGAGTTATTTAATTTAAAATTGCCCATTAACCGTTAAAATGGAACGGCGAGATGTAGCAGGTGACGACAATGGATAAATCATGACCGAGAATGTTCGTTTTTCACGCGATCATGTCACGAGGGATGGATAAAACGTATCCGTGTCTCCAAACAATCAATTAAGGGAGGTCGTTTCACAATTAATTGTCGCGAGTACAACATTTGACGCGTCGATCGAACTGACTATTGATGTTCCAGCAATCATTGAAGGCTATCGTGTATAATTGGAGGCGATTGGCTAGCATAGTCGGGACTGTATAATTTTTCCGCGTATTATTTATTTTTACGCATTTTTCCTCCTCCCTCCTCTCTCCTTTTTATTGTTGTTCACGGTCTGACGATTTTTTTTTTCCATGGCAAAATTGTTTTTACAACGTTGATGTAAACAAAAAACAAGCGCAGTATCGTGAAAGCGTAAAAAATAATGCACACACGAAAATACCTAGACGACCTTCGCGCTTTTTGTTTTATTTTATCCTTTGTTTATTTATTGTTTATTATTTCTTTTTTTTTTTTTTTTTTACGTAATGATAAATCCATCCGGGGAGAGGATCAGGAAAACGATTTTTTTTCCTAGACTCACAATTCATGACGCTTTTTTTCAATGATTTCCACTGGAAATGTATGAATATCAATGGCTTGAAAAAATTCCAACTCTTGATGCATGCAAATCGCATTCTTTTTTTTTTTTTTTTCTTCTCCTCGTTTTACAGTTTATAGAAGGGATTTGTAGTTTTTTTTTATTTCTTTTTTTCCTTTTTCACTCGATGGATCAACACGAGGTTCAGAATTTTCCAGGGATATCGAGTTACCAGGAACCTAATACACGGGGGTTCTCGATGCTGTTATATTTTGCCGGTGCACGCACCACGTCGAATTTGATCGATCGATATTTTGATGAAACATCCAAGACAGGAGTGATATCGATTTTATATTACCTTTTAAACGGCATGTATCTTCCACACTCGAATCAAAATTTAATTTATATTCCCTCAACTTTTCCATTTTGTTCTATAACAAAATTTTCCATCACGGTTTGTGAAGTAAAAAATTTTGGAGAGAACTATTTCCATTTTCGCAGTTGTTACATGTATATTAAATAATTATTCGTAATGCAATTCATCCTCATATATATATATATATATATATATATGATTATTTATCTACGACAAATCATTATTATGAGTCATAGAATAAGAATCATTGTTTTATTCTTATCAATAAAATTGAATTGTCGAAAATTATCAACGAGCTTCGATAATTTATCAAATTACTTCCATTACAGATCGATAGTTGTAAGCGAACAACACCCTGACGATCTCGACGAGGAAAAGCTGAGGGAATAAAAGAAAACTCCGGTCTTGATAAAAAGAGACCAATGGGCGAGAGCCATTTCTGGCTTCGTTGCAACAGTTTCGTCTCTTTGCCACGTTCTCGCGTTTGTTTCACGGCGCGAAAGCTGGTGGAGGGGGAAAGCCAGAAAAGACCACGGGCAGAAAAAGGAAATCGAGGGAAAAAGGGAGAAGCCACGGCGCCTTTAAAGACCAGTTCCCTCTCCGTCGTTGTCCTGCATCGTCCAATAGTCTCTTTAATCTCCAGTCCTGTCTGCCATTCGTTCTCGAAGTTCATCCCCTTTTGCGGAGACGAACCGGTCCCCTCTTCCTTTTTCCTTTCTGTTTAGCCCGCTGCCTTCGTCTCGGCGGTGGCCTTTCGATTCGGTTCGCGCCCATGGCCTGGCTCAATGGCGCGGATCGAAATTCCGGCGGAGTAGCCGAGGCTCGAATTCAACGAAATTCGCCGCTGGGAAAGGGACAAAGCGTGGCGTCGATAAGTAGCCTCCTTTGATCTGCTGCTGAATCGCCGTGACCATGGATCGGAGGATCTCTGTTCAGATGTGCGAGGATTGAGAAATTTGAGGATGAGATTTCGTACGTTTCGATCGTATGTGATACAAGGATGCAGCTGTAATCTAAAAATAGGTGTGTATCTCTCTTCCCTTTTCTCTTGAGAGATAGAGTATTGGAACTTTCGTTTGCTCGAACGAGTATCGAATGAAAATTCGCTTTATAACCTACAAATTTACAAAGTAAAGAAAAGAAAAGAAAAGAAAGAAAAATGTAGAAAGGAAAATAATTGTTCTTACGGTTCTGAGTTGATCTAACTTCGATGGTGAGCTGTCGATCCGTCACGGAGTTGAGGATCCACGTGCATTTCTGTTGATAATACTGATTGAGCTTTAAGCCGCTGCTGGCCAAGTCGCCGCCATTCACCTCGCCTTCCGGCTTTGTCGTTGTGTGATAACCGCAGTAAGTGTCCTTGATAAACTCGTAAGCCGCGCGGAAATTGAGGCCTGCCTTCGAGGACCTCGACCATTCGATGTACACTGGCATCCAGCTACGGATACCGACAGGGAGCCAGTCCTGTGGGACATATAAGTGACTTGTATCCGTGGAAACGGTTACTATATAAAGTTTATTTAACTTCTCGTTAACGAACAATATTAACGTTAGTGTAATTGAACGTGAATATTCATCACGAGAATTGTGTAACGCTTAATATCTATTACTATATTCAAAGAGGAATTAATTTTAATTTATAAATGTTGGTAATATAATAAATTAATATTATTAGCGATTGTTTCGAATGATTTACGAAAGTGTGTTTGCGTCATTAGAACGTATTATTAACGTAGTAGAATGGAGTTTTTCCGAAATTGGTTACCATTGAAAGGAAGAACTAATTGTTAGACCATGTTGATTGGACGTCAATTGATCAATCAAGATATATTCATTATGTACGTATAATTATATACAGTGTAGCAATTAGTTGATTGCTTCTTTCATAAGAGTCATCTTATTTTGTTTTGTTAATTGAAGATTATATACTCCGCGAAAAATTACACTTGTTAAATAAATGAACACTGTGTGTTCTAGACATTATACATTTTAGACGAATCAATAGATGTTCTCAAATTCATAGATTGAAGTAATACTTCATTTATTCAATTACTTCACAAACACTTTCATAATTTCTTCTCTTCGACGAGAAAAAAGATCGAAGAGAGTAAAGAGATACACAAATTCCACGAATCACCAGAGTGAATTTCTCGTTTCAAGTGTACACTCGAAACCATCGTGTGTAACCATCTCGATCGAAAATCATAACCCGACGCTCCTCGATGACCGCGAATCGTTTCGATTCGAAAAAAAAAAAAAAAAAAAACTAGCTCGCCAAGCTTTCCTACGCCGTTCTCCTTTTTCCATCCCTCTCCCGTTCCTTTTATTTTCTCACCGCATTTTATTTCTCACCGCTCACGTTCGACTGTCACCGTTTCATTCAACTTTCATTCACGGACAAACGGGCCCGTTCACACCGATTGTAACGGCGGGACATTGAATGCTCTCTATGCCGTTCCTATTCAACGCCTATTCCATCAACTGGCGTGGAATTACTTCGAACGATTTCACCGGCCGTTGAATAAAACAAATAATGCCCGCGCCGTACCGTGCGAAAAGTAGACAACGTAGACAAAAGGGGAGAAATTGTTTTTCGAAGAATCGAGTATGGATGGGGAAAAAGGAAAGAAGGGAAGAAAGGAAAGGAAAGAGAGAGAGAGAGCAACGATTTGCGAAGCGCCATCTGTGTTTTCGGTGTTGTGAAACGTGCAAGCGTATGACGGACGTGTTTTTCATCATCTTTTCGATGTTTCAAGGTCATCCCGTTATTTTCTCTTTCTTTTTCCCTTTGTGTATTCTAGAAAAAATTATGAAAGTTTGAAAATCAGATAAAAGCGATTTTTAAAGATAAAGTATCTCGTTGAAATTTTATAAATTTTTCCTACGAAGATGTTCCATACTTTTATATTTCCAAGTTCTGTTGCTGGTCCACGTTGCTAATCACTTCGATCCTTTAAAAAAAGTGCATCGGAAGATTGAAAATGTAAAAATATTTACAGGAAGATAAAATGTAAAATTGTTGCGAATAAATTTCACAGAGTTTTCACTATTTACCTGATAATTTCCACAAAGACAAGTGACGATGTGACCGGTTTCAGAGACGAGGAGAAGGTGGTCCATGTTCTCCAGGGTCTTGTTGCTCACGCACTGACAGCCGCTATCTCCGCATTTGGTTTTGCAAGGGCTGTCCGGACTCTGCTTCAAGCTGCTCTCCACCTTCCAGCAAAACAATAACAACGGCTTTGAATCTAACATTGTGCAACCAAGGCGTTCTCGTGTAAGGATTCTCGATAATATTTCGATATTATATTTTGGAATAATCAATTGTAAAATTTAATTACTTAATTAATTCATTCTTTTTTGTAAAAATCACGATGCAGCTTAATAATTCAATGTTCACAGTGTAACTCACAATAAATTAAATATTTTGCATTAAGAAACCTTTTTTTGCAACAGAAACAATGCATCCTTGATGCATTATCTCAGAAAACACTTTGCGAGAATATAATTTGAATAATAAAATCATGGATGATGGAACTTACGCGTATGATGACCGACTGATTAGCCGCTGGGATGAAGTGCTGCCTGCATTTTATTGGCCTCTCCATGGCGAATAACCGGTAAGGATCCGGATGTACCACGGAACCTTTCACCGGTGACGTGAGTCCGTAATATTCGACGTCGCACACGCTGGCCGGCTGTTGAGTGCCACCCTCGCGTTCTGAAATATCGACAAGTCGAAGGTTGTCGAACGGGTACGAATTCAATCGTATCCGGAGCGAGGCAGGATTAAAAATATTTTCGATTCATCGACGTCCAACCGAATTGCCAAGGATAAATCGTTCCGCCCCGGGCTAACCTGGATATTTTTACGTCTCATCGATTATATTTAATCTTTTGCTCGTTTAATTTCTTCGCCATCTCCGTTGTAAAGTTGTTTTCGTCCCCGGGGAGAGAAAATTGAACGACGGGGGGAGAGACGCGATACGTTTGGACAAATAAAAATATCGATTTTATTGGCACGCCTGACAAATAATTTGCCTGTTCCACTTAGAGAGCGTAGATTATTTTCGCGAAAGACATTCGATTCGATTTCTATAAAAGTTGTTTCTATAAATTTCATTCCATCTGTCCGATCAATAATTTATTTATTCTATTTGAAAATTCTTTATTTTTTCTGCCTTATCACGCGATGATAAGTGAAAAAAAAAATAACTTAACAATTAAAAATATCTAGTGTAAAAATTCTTCTTCTCTTTCGTAAATCATATCGTAAATAATTTGGATAAACGAATCGGAGGATTCGTAATTGTATCGTTAAGCGAGTCGTATATCGACAAACGGTCGTATTAAAGTCAAACGCGCACATCGAATTGCATCGTCAAACCGGTTTCGAGCGATTTTCGCGTGATTGAGGCGCATGGCGGCGCTCGTAGAGCGACGATTTCGTCATTCAGACGCGGCGAGACGTCGGTTAAATTAGCGGTGGCAATTTTAGAGGCGAACGAACGATACGTCAAACGCGGCCTCGTCACGTTGTAAAAGCTCGCCTCGTGTTGTTGCGCCGGTTAACCGAAATTCCGCGCGCAACGCGACCTCGGCAAATAAACGGGAGCGTCAATTGCGAGACCCCGTTTTCCTGGAAACGCGTTTAATAAAGTAAAATGGGGGAAACAAGTTCGCGATCAAATGAGACTTGCCATAAACGAGTCTTTCTTTTTTTTTTTTTTGTTTGTCACACTGTTGTTACAACTGTTTCACGATAGATTCTGGCAATTAGCTTCCTTTATACGCAAAATTGTTAAAGGGCATCTGCTGTGTAATGGTTGTTCGTTTTAATTAGTTTAAGCTTCGTATTAAATTAAAGAGAAACGGAGAAATATTTGGGTTAATAGCAGCTTTGATTAAATTCGTAGAGAGAATATTTCCCTTCCCCATTTATTTTTCACGCGATAATTTTGATAACTTTTTGATATTCTTTTTAAATTTTAAATTTCCTTTAATTCGCAAGTAAACGAAACGCTTCTTTTTTTTTTTTTTTTGTTTTCAAGTCTCGTAAGTCTTGAAATTCTTAATTATCGTTCGTATTATATACACAATGCAATGTGGATTTTATTTCCATAGGGGAAAACATTTCTCGTATCTAGTTTCTTTTGCCCGAGTTCTCTTCCGAGGGGAGGGGACGTGGAAAACACAGATCGGGTATATGCAAAGAAACAAGGAAACTTTCGCCGCGGGCACACTCCGATATCACCTATTTCTGCTAACTTTCCTCTGTTCTCTCGAACTCTTTTTTCCCTTTTTTCCCTTTTAAGTTCCTCGTTTCGAGGATACTTTCGTTTCGCAGCTTATACCTATATATGTAATCCGTGTTTAAGGCGTGCACTTTCATGAAACGTTTCCAAGTGCACTTTTACGATCGTATTTATATTGTATTAAAACCAGCATCATAATCGTAGTTACAAAGCGTAATCCAAAGACCTGTTGTTTTTTTTAACTTATATACTTTTAACAAACTGTATTTTAACAAATTGCTCGTTACAATTTTAATAACACGACGAGTGATCTTGAAACAACATTTCACATTTTTTATCCGACCGAAACAGGTAACTAAACAGGTATATAAATTCTACATCAAAAGATATCATAATACGGAATCGTGATGGATTTTTAATTAATTAAATATTTTCCATAAGTAAGTAGCGCGGGATGCAGAGTTTTACGTACGAAAAATCGAAAAAGTGAAAAGCAACGACAAATAATAAACGTTTTTTGTTACAACGTAATGTCGTTTTTTCAAAAAATATAATTCTGTTTGAATATTTTTTATTTTTTTTTTCGCGTCAAACGAATTTATTCCTCCCGTGGGTGGGGCGAGAGCGAAATTTTCACGTTTCGTTTCGTATGCGAGAAGATTGCGAGCGAAGGTCGATGATCGAGCCATATATTTTCCCATATAAGGAAATCGGTCTCCTCTAGGTAACATAAAATTTTACGCATCGATAGATTGCCCTCCGGGTATTACGGCCCTAAAAGGGAGGGCCTGCGCTATTCCACGATAGAAATTGTGCGGACCGTGTATTTCGAGGCCGTGTACATTCAATGTGCCCCTTCAAAGGAATATTCAATTAATCGAAGAATCGATGTTCGTATAATATACGTCGGCCGAATGCATAAATGCATGACCGTGTTCGTGGTTCGTCGATCAATCTGACGTGTCCTTATTACGTGTTCCGAGATTTCGAGAGGAGATTAAATTTTTGCCGTGTTTAAACAATATCCTTGAAAACCTGCTGCCTTTTGTACATATCATTCTATACACCTTCGAGTGGATTAAGAAAAAAGAAATATAATTATTCATTCGATCAAAATTCATTCCTGAAAACGGAGAAATTCGAAGATTTTTAATCAGGAAAAAAAAAAAAGAAAAAAGAATTAAGAAAATCAAACCTACGTTTCCTTCTCTCGAGACGTACTTTTTTAGAATTTTATTTTTTAAAGAATTTAATTATTATTTTTTAATTTTTCTAAATCACGCAAAACAAAGTTTTTACGGATCGAAAGTTCGATCGATCGAGCAGGATGCTATCTATCCACCAAGAGACAATGGCGGTTTACGCTCGTGCCACTTCACAATGGCGTAACGCAAAGTCATCGATGATGATCGGAGAAAAAAATTGGCGCGCGTTAATAACGGGCAAATGACACGAATGGAAAGTCGGCGTGGCGACAAACTGCCGGCATCGATTTGACGGTGATTGATGGACGCCCCGCTCGTTCGTCAACGTTATTACGTTTACACACGGTGTACGCGTGTCTGAACATGAACGATCGATAAATTGTACGGTTCCAATTGGAAAACGCAATCAACGGGATCAAAAAGTGTGTGAAACGGGGGCGGGATGGACTCGTCGCGCGTCAATCTTACTTTATACTTTCGCATTATTTTCAAATTATTACGTGGCAACGCGTTCGACGCTAAGATTTATATGGATTGTTTAATTAAAAAAAAAANAAAAAAAAAAAAAAAGAAAAAACGAACGAGTTGAAAATGATGGATTTTTGGAATTATTAAGTAGTAGATCCTTGGGCGCAGAAAATTAACACCAATACTACTTGGAGGATTTCTGGCTAAAGATTCAACATTGATTCAACTTATGAATCAAAATTGCGAAATTTATTTTAGTAATAATATTTGAAATTGTTAATAGAGTGATACGTTTGTTGAGCGCAGGAAAATGTATATTTCTTAAGGATTTCTACTATTTAACGAGTGCTAAACATTCATAACTTACGATTCATTTAAAATATCATTAATGGTAGTATTGATGAAATTTTGTAAAACGAATTCCCTTCCAATTTTATATATTTTTCATGAAAAAAATATGCGAAAAATACAAATTCTACTTTTCTTATTCGGACACTTTTCAAACTTATCAGAATTTCAATACGATTGATTTCTCTACAGTCAAGAGAATAAGATTTTATTAAATATCCACCGGAAATTCTATTCTCATCGTTTATCATTAATCTGCGTGGGTGATTTTTCAGACGATTGACGATTTTTCCGTACGCGACACGCGATAAATCCAAACGTTGGATTATCGATTTGACGGACACCTCATAAAGACGAGTAAAATCGGTGTAATGGACGCGGCCTCTGCTCTTCGATCTTCGTTTCTTTTCGATTAATTTTCCATGCAAAAATGGAGCACGTTTTCTGTTCCGTTTATTAGGTATACGCGATCGAAATTTAATTTCACATCTTTGCTTCCCGTCTCTTTGTCGATGATATTGAATCTCGCGCGAATATCTTCCCCTCTTCCAATGAATTTCTTTTGGAAAAGTAAATGAATCTTTTTTCAGCGGATCTCGAACGAGTTTCGTTACTTTTTAGACGATATTTAGAGAGAGGAAAATTCACGTGAAAATATCTTGTTCCAAGCGTTTTGTTGCCAACATAGCATACATGACAAAGGAGATGTAGAGTATTACTACGTCAGAACCTCTTATCTTTAATACATGGCAAAGATAGGATAATGCTTTGAGATCTTCCATCCTCATTTTTTCGGTTAAAAGAACGGAAAATTATTAATCGTAAAAGTAATCGCCAATAGATTTCCTATACAATTTTCGTCAATAATTAACGTTTAAACGTACGTTAATTCTTTCCCTATTCGAATTCATCAGAAGAGGAATCCTCCCGATTGTAAATTTTTTTAATAATTTTTAGATTAGAAAAGACTCACTCCTCTCACGCCCTTCGCCATTTTAATCACGCGAGAAAGAAATTTTAATAATAAAAGATTCATGGTCGTTCGATCGAATTCGATGGGTTCTTCCCCCCCTTTTTTTTACCCCAGCCCAAGAATAAATGCATCCAACCAAGCATCTTATCCCGTTTCAACGAAGGAAGGAATATCCGTATGGAATACTTGCTTTCTCATCGAGGAGAAGAAACTCGAGAGAGAGAGAGAGAGAGAAAATTCCGATTAATTCATAACGAAACAGCGCCCTTGCATTATTAAAATACGCTATCGCTATCTTAATCTCAATCGCAAGGTTTACAACGTTTTCTCTCTCTCTCTCTCTCTTCTTTTTGTTTCGACGATTCGTGCACAACGATCGCGCCCAGCTAAATGCTATCCTTATGGATAGTCGCGCGTTCTTGGCCACGTTCCAACCAGGACTTGCGGATTACCGTGCGCATGGACGCATCTATATTCATCCGATTAAGGGGGCTCGCCGATATGTCGGCTCGCAATGGCTGCAATTAGTCGTTGGTAATTAGTAGCCGAGGTACTTGGCCGTTGAAACCTCGGCCAAGAAGAATCGGAGCCAAAAATAATTGACGCGTCGCGTGTACACGCTCTTTCGAAACGATTCTTTCGAAATTAATCCCTTCGAAACACGGACGAGAATTTTTAAGTTAAAGATTCGTTTAATTTTAAAGAAAAATAAAAACCTTTGTTCGATTGATCGTCCGATATTGAAGTAACGAGATTGAAATTTTATTCGTAAATTTCTTTCGTTTCGAAGAAGCCATCGAGTCTTCCTTGATTTTTTCCACAGGAAAAGAATAGGATTTCTATTAACATATGAATTGTGCGGTAATCAGCGTGACTCGTTTAATCGAACAATCGATGCTCATTACTTGCACCTTAAAAATGAAATTCGTTTAATATAAATATCTCCATTTATACTTAGAATTTCGTTCGAAAACGTACATATAACGAGTTGTTCAAGAATCATTTAATCGATCTTAAAAGTGACACGTAACAAGCATTTTCGTCGTTCAATTTTCACCGGTATATAAAGAAACCGTATAGAAGAACCGTACCATCATAACCGTAAACCATTTACGTATCCCAAAGCCAACATACATAAACCTATTACCCATTAAGACTCGGAAAACTGGCAATGATTCCATTGAGAACCCCGTCTTGAGAAACCCCCTTCGATACTTTTATATACGTTGTCGCGTTGAAAAGACGTGAGAGATAGTCGGCTTACCATCGTGGAAGTAATAAGAGACGTCCATGTATTCCTCGTCGGTGGGGCTGTTCGTTGCTCGTTTCAGTACGACCGTCATATCTCTCCCATTAGACGAGTACCTTTTCGGCTCGATGTATCTGGAAAAGAAAAAGAAAAGAAAAGAAAAGAAAAGAAAAAAGAAAGGAGGAAGAAACGAAAAATAGAATCTGCTTTTACGCAGCCTTATATTGCCGGGGGGAGAGGGAGGTGGAGAGGAGAGATTCGAGTCATTTCTTCGTGGAAAACGAGTCGTTCCATCGAGATCGATTGTAAATCACGGGGGTTGCTATCGAAAAAAAAAAATGTCGTAAAGCTCTATCGGATACCTTCGAACGGAACCTGCTCCCCGTGGTTTTCAACGAGCCGCGTAATTCAGAGGCAAACGTGTATATATATATATATATATACGTTTCCTCGTGCTCGTTGCGGTTGATGAGATTACTTTTACTTTCCTTCCTTTCTTCCTTGCTTTTTTTTTTTACTGCTGAGTGATTGTCGGCGAGGATGAATATTTATTTTCAAAGGGAATTTTTTAAGGTTTGTCCAAAGTTTAAGATTAATTAACAGTACTTGCAAAGAAGGTTAGGTTGGACGATTTATTCGTAGAATAAATTTCTTTTCTCGTAACTTTTTTCGAGGAAAAACAATGTTCTTACGACGTTCACTGTTTCACTTTCGCAACGATGATAACGGAGGAAACGTTTTCGTTCTGAACAATAATAAACACGTGTAACGAACACGTGTTACGGTATTATAATAATACGTGTAACGTTAGCTTCGATTTGTCGCACAAGGGCTCCTTTGAATACAATTTTCCAGCGGTAGGGTTGCACACACACACACACACAAATATACGCACAACATATGCAGAATATAAAGCTGGATCCCCCCGCCCCATCTTTTGATTCTTTCTCTTACTCCCCATCAGGAGCTCTTTTCCTTTATGTCGCTAAGTCGAACCGCCCGAAGGAAGTTTGCCGTGAATTATGAAGCCGGCGCCTTTATGTCAAAGAGGTACACGTCTCACCATGCTTGACAAGCTTACGTGTGCCAGCGCAGCGAGCAAGGCTTGGAAGTTGGGCAAGTGGTGGCACAAAGCGGCATGTAAATTTTCCACGTCGTTCGCTTCCATTTTACCCGGCCCCAACTTGTAAATGGACGTCCTGGGAACGGGCGCCTCGCGATAACCTGCGCCTGAATCCTCCATGAGACAGGGTATAGTGATAAGTCAATGTTTGCGGCCCGGTTTTGCCCGTGTGATAACGTCTTGCCGCATGGCATCGGACGGTTATTAATAGATGGAATAAATTAACACGGTTTTTGGCCTGGCAACGACAGCCAGGTGTTCAGAGTGGTATGGCCATTCGACCAATTCCGGAGCAAATTAATTTACCGCGAGATTAAAAGGTAAAGGTGGTCTGGTTGGTGTGTATCGCGCGGTGGCCACCACCCTTGGTGATGGTGGTGGTGGTGGTGGTGGCGTCGACGAGCCGTGCATATTTATGAATCATATTATTCGCCAGTAGGTATCGAAATTTCGATTCACGATCGAATTTTGGAGGTTTTTTTTTTTTTTTCTTCTTTCTTTCTTTGTTTTCAATATACGCGGAGAGAAGTTGTATTACAGAGGAAGAGAGATTTTTGCAGGCGAGGAATTTTAGCGGGCAAAGCAGTTTTTCACTACGAATGATGTCCAAGTTGTTGCAAAAATTTTTATCCCTTCCTATACCCTGAAAGAATTTTACATGGAAGATTTTCTTCGTCGAAGATCAAATATCTCTTGCAAGCCCCCCCCCCCTTCCCCGTATCTTTCTTGAAAATTTTCGAACTTTCGACTTCTTGCTCAAACTTCTTGCCCTCGTCCAATGTTCGTGATTCCCTTTCCGTTTTTTAAGATATATATATATGTGTGTGTGTATTATAGTCCCCTCCCCCTCCTCCGATTTTTTAAAAAAAAAATCTTCGAGTTATGGAAGTCACTTAAGCTTTCGGGATCGCAGAAATGTCTACTATCCCACGAAAGGTAAAGACATCTCCAAGTTTCGCAGCTCCACCAACTTTCTCAACTCATCCAATTCATAATATCCTTTAGATCCTGCAATATCCCATAGATTCCCGAGACCGAGCCAGTTACATCGTCTGAGACTTACTTAATGAGTTTTGAGGCTCAAAAGCTCGCGGACGCGTAGAAAAAAAAGAAAAATTATAGCGTTCCATTAAAGAGAATGAAAGATTCTCTTCGAAGAAGAAAGAAAAAATCAAATTCTTCGCGATATCGTTATCCATTACAATTGCATTGTTTTAATTAATAATAAAAAAAACGATAATTACGACGCGAAATCGAAAGATTAATCGCGTTATCGGCGTAGAAAAATCAATGCTTTTGTTGCACACTGCGAAATTGGCCAAGTTATGATTTCATCCGCGGTTACGCTTCTTCCAGAAGAGGAAGGAAGGAAGGAAGAAAGGAAGGAAGGAAGGAAGGAAGATGGAGGGCGCAACGGTTTTCGATTGCTTTGATTAAAAACTTGGAAAAAAATTTGTAATTGCTCGACGGAACGTTTGTTAATGAGCGGCAAACAAACGGTAAATAACGAAGGGGAACTTGAAAATACAATTTCACGCGAGCAACTTTGCTCAAACTTCGAATAACGTATTATTTATAACGATGAGTTGATGCGTGAGTAACGAAACGAAGGAGGGGGATCGTTGCGGCTCGAAATGAAACGGTAATGAGGAAAAATAGAAAGGAGAAACGCGGGAAAAACGAGGAAAAGTTATTTTTACACGTGATATTTCGAATAAGAAAAAACCATCCATTTTTCCCTGAGAAAACAGGGAAATATTCGTCGAAAAATTTCATTTCTCTTTCTCTTTTCGATTATTAAAACTATTGAAATCTCGTTTCTCGTCCCGATCCCGATCGATCAATTTGCAATTTTTCCAGGGGATCGAACAACGTCATCGAACGAGGCGGGGTGGTCCAACTCGGTGTTTTTTTCGATAGAATGATTGTTTCTTGGAAGGCGCGGGATCAACCGACCCAGTTGGCTCATTTTCAACTTTCATTCGTGAATTTCGAATGCGCACGAGGCAGGATCTGGTGTGTACTTTTCCTGTGCAAATCGGGGGGGTCGAGATATCTGTTGCCCCGAAGAGAGATCGTCACCGACAGCGTTCGCGGCTCGTATTTCGGTCAAACGAGATTTTAACGCGCCCATTCTCACTCTCCATGTCGTGAACCTCCTTTCCTCGTTTACAATTTGCATGACAGTTTTGTTTCATTCCCCGTCGTGTTGTTGTCTCACGGCTGACTTCATTTCCTTCCGACTTATGCTTCTTATTTTTCTGCTTTTACCACTTTCTATTATTCTACCTGCGTGTTTTAAATAAGGTATACTCGTATTCTTGGATTATGTGTGATTGACAGATGGATACAAGATACGAACGAATTGGATATAGTTGAAGAATATTCGTGATATATAGCCAAAATCGGGTTAATAACGAGTTTAAAGTGGAAAATAACTTTTTCGACAGTTTATTACAAATAAATAGCAGAATATTGAAAATTGATTTTTATGAATCTTAAATACGATTCGTAATAAATGCAATATATAATAAAATGACCGAAATAGGAAGAATTACTTTTACTGAGAAGATTCTTTAGCCTACGAGATCACAAAATATCACGTTCGTTTCATTTTTATTTGCTTTCCGGGGAAATTTTCTAGGAAAAACGTTCCTACTAGGTAAAAATAAATAAACTTCACGAATCGATATCTCGAAATTCGCTGAATCGGGGAAAAAATTCAACGCGAAACTTCTAATGCGATAAATTTAATTTTCCACCAATATCGTTTTGTATTTATAAGAACGAATAACATTCTGAAACGGATCTAAAATAAACACAACCAATCCATTTACGCACTGTATCGAACCAAAAACCAGATATTATTTCTTTTATTCTTATATAATAAACGAACCATTTACCAACTTGTATTTATATTTTTATAATAATACGGTAAGTAAAGTTTCGTACGAAATCACGAAAAATCGCATAATAAACATTTTCGATTACAAAAAAAAAAAATTAAAAATAATTCCTCTTAAAACGATCAATGCCGCTAAACATCTATGGCGAGCGATTACTTTTTCGCGTTTTTCTATCGAAAATGATCCACGCCTCAAGGAATCAACATCAACGAGCGGAAATTACCTCTTGCCTCGCAGTGGTCACGATCCAGCCTTCTCGACGGCCTTTAAGCTCCGCGTTAAACGAGCTACGAATCGAAGGGCAAAGTAAACCGGTTTCCGATTCGATGCGGCGTTTAATCCCTGTTCAAGCCACCGCTCTCCCCCGCCCGATCATCCCTCTCCCCCCGATCAATTATTATTGACCGTGCGTGGCGGAGAGAAATTATACGCCCATCCTCCAGCGCCCCTGTCTGTTTGTATTGCGCCAAGTAGGGGGCGGCCGAGTCGAGGTTTATTTTGCCGGGAGCGCAGCCGGTGTCGACACAGCGGAGGGCCGGTTCATTAGCCTTGCCGCCTGCTAACGGACAGAAGCGGCGCGGCTTTTAGTTGGTGCCAAACGGAGATTAAATTACTCGACAGCTCCGGCCACCCTCGATTGATCCACGCATGGGCGCGGATTAAACGGCGCGTGCCCGCGCGGATAATCGCGCCGCTTTTTATGCCGCGCGTGTTATCGCGAGCAGGATCGTGAATCCGATCACTTTGATAAAGAGGAGGGGGCGAATCTCCAATCCAGGTTTTTTAATGCCGAAAGTTTGCCGAGCGTCGAAGGTTTTTTCACAATTTTGGCCTCGCAACAAACAACGCGCCGCTGGAATTTTGATGAAGGCGAAAATTCGGCGGCGTAGAAAAAAAAAGAAAAATGGATCGATCGGGGAATAATCGGGGAAGAATGAACGTAGGATCGTTCAGAGGAATCGAATCGCGACGAGATCGACGTTGGAGGAAAAATTCTCCCCGATTGAGTTAACGAGGTTATTTTTTAATATTCATTTAATAACGCGTGTAACGATCAAGAGAGCCAAGCCTTCTTTGTGTTGAACCTTGGAAACGGTTTATCCCG